ATTTATAAAAAAAAAACATTCACCGCAGTTAGAGAGCTTTTGCACTCACCTTAAATTTTTACTCCACTAAGGCTTATAATTACGTACGCAAAACATTTAATACTTGTTTACCCTCTGTTAAAACACTAGGACAGTGGTACAGATCTGTAGATGGTCTTTCGGGTTTCACGAAGGAAGCTTTTGATGTTCTGAAATTTAAAGCAACACAGACAAATCTGCCTATTCATTGCTGTGTTATCTTCGATGAAATGAAAATTGAGAGGAAAGTAGAAAAGACTGAAAAGATAATATAGAAAAGATCTGACTGTAGAGAAGAATGTAAGAAGAATGTACCGACGCATTAGTTTTTCTAGTTCATTACACGGTAAATGGAATGTGCTTATTGGATATTTTTTTATTAATAAAGTAACGGTTGACAAAATTTTTTTTTGCTCACTCAAGCTATTGACTTATGCTTTAAAGCTAGATTGGTAGTCAAAGCTGTAACCTTTGTTGGCTGTCCAGCCAATATATCAATAGCCAAGAAACTCGGCTGCGATTTAAATCCGAATAATTTGAAAACTGTTTTTAAAGTGCAAAATAATGGAATTGCTATCTTTCTCGATCCAAGCTCACATCATAAAATTAGTTAGAAAGAGTTTTGAAAATTAAAGAAGGGCAATAATATAAAATGGAGTGATACCGAGATGTTACACCAGTTGCAAGAAGACGAGAAGTTTCACGCGGCTAACAAGCTATCTGAACACTTGTTTTTTAAAAAGAATATTACGAAAGTGAAGCTTGCCACTCAATTGTAAACAACTGCTAAAGCAGAAGTGTATCAATAGCTCTCCAATTTTGTAAAAACACCTTGATGATAGCCTAGTTTCAAGTAATAGATGGAACAGCTAATATGTTGTTAATCTTAAACGACTTATTTGATATCTTAGATTCGAAAGTGCATGGATATGGACTGAAAAAGGCATTAAACGCTGAAAACTCTGAAGTTATTTTATCAAAACTCGAAATGTGCAAACGCGTGTTGATGAATTTGATAATTAATTTCAAAAATACTGCCTATTTTGATACGTGAATAATTGATACACCGAGATTTACCGGATTTTCAGAACTGTATATGTATTGAAAGTTCAAAATTTTAATTTAATGATTTGATAAAGAACCAGTGCTGTCCTTATATATCGTTTTCCCGTATCAGCCAAGACCACATTGAACTGTTTTACTATAATATAAGATCACATGGAAGGGCTCATAACAACCCAACGCGAAAACAGTTTTATGAAATTTATAGAAAAATGCTTGTACATATGGAACTGCAAGAACTCAATACCGATAATTGCATAGCATTAGAACATAAATAGCCACATTAAACAGTTCTTCAGCTATAAAACGTGTAAATATGACGACTGAAAGGGGTGAAACTTGCGAGACTGTGGAACGCGTTGATGAAACTTTTGTTGATTCCTTACGTCAACATCTCAGTTTTCAAAGCATAATAGAATATCTCGCTGGCGCTGTTGTACATTACTTAACAAAGAAAATCAAATATAATACTTGCGTTAAAGCTTTAATATCCCTGGATGAGAAAAAAAAAACAGTTTGATTTACGCAAGAGATGCAGGAGGACTTCTGTTCCCGTCCAACATAGTCATCAAAATTTGCAGACGACCTGAATAAGTCATTCGAAGCTCAATCGGTACAAATCAAGGTTTTAAAATATATTACAAAGACAAATTCCGTTTCGTAACAAAAATATTACGCAATTTGTAAATAGATATTTTTTTAGAAAGTTGTAATCATGTCATTGATTTAGCTAAGAGTGTCATAGAAAAATACATAGACATAACATTACTTTACTTATCTAGAAAGACAGATCCTAAAAATTCTGTGAGACAATTATATACCAAGCTTATGTTTTATTTTTTAAAGTATACTAAATAAAAATTGATCAATATTATTTCACACATCCACAGCACTCTAAACCATTAAAACTTATATTTAACTTCTTCATAGAAAAGTAGTCTCCAAATATAAGTTTTAATGGTTTTAAGTGCTGCGGAATTTGCCGGGCGCATACGACTGCGGCATGAGAATTTTCTGAGGGGATAATCAATAAATCCCAATTTTGTCGATTAACGTCCCAACCCCGTCCAATCACTACGGTTTGATGCATTCTAAGTTTGACCTTGAAATATCCAATCACAGCGCATTTGACACGTCCGCCGCAATGCTTGCATGACACCAAATTTCGTGAAATCGAAACAGAACAAATATTCAATGATGCGATATCTATAATCTAATCTGTGATTTTGACTAAGTGCATGAAATTAATTGACTTAAAATAATTAATGGCGTATGTGGACTATGAGAAAGCCTTTGATTCCTATAATTATCATTTGTATTATGTTCTCTTATTCTATATTGCCACACCTACGTCAACTTCTCACCACTCCATGGGTTGACTGGTAGAGAATGCCACAAGGCATTAAGTGCGCCCTTTGTGTTCTTTTTTGTTTAAGGATGCAATAAAGAATAAAATAATAATAATAATAATTCCGTCGAAATTTGGGCGGTGCTACATTCTCTTCGGGGGTGCCAAGTTGACTGTCGGTATATCGAAGTGCTGAAGTGTTTGTACAGTAGGGCTACGATGGCTATCCGAGTACAAAACCAGAGTACGAAACCTATCCAACTGCAGAGAGGTGTAAGACAGGGTGACGTTATATCCCCGAAACTCTTCACCGCTGCACTGGAAGACGTTTTCAAGCTACTGGACCGGAAAGCAACGGTATTAACATCAATGGCGAGTACATCACTCACCTTCGATTTGCCGACGATATAGTCCTTATGGCAGAATCGCTGAAGACCTAAGCGCTATGCTGAATGACCTCACTAGTGCCTCCCAAGGGATAAGTCTTACGATGAACATGGACAAAACAAAGATCATGTTTAATGTCCATGTCACACCTATGCCGGTAGCTGTTGGGAGCAGTAAGCTCGAAGTTGTTGACGAGTACGTTTACCTGGGACAAATAGTCCGACTAGGTAAGTCCAACTTCAACCGAGAGGTCAATCGACGGATTCATCTCGGCTGGGCAGCGTTCGGGAAATTACATTACGTACGTCGTCGTACGTTTTCTTGTCAGGTATACCTCAAAACCTGAAAACGAAATTGTACAACCAGTGCGTGTTGCCAGTGATGAGATATGGAACTGAGACGTGGTCCTACACTGCTGGCCGTATGAGGACGCTCAAGGTCGCTCAGCGAGGTATGGAGAGGGCTATGCTCGGAGTTTCTCTGCGTGATAAACTTAGAAATGAGGATATCCGCAGTAGAACCAGAGTGACCGACATAGACCAACGGATTAGTAAGCTGAAGTGGCAATGGGCCGGCAATATAGCTGGAAGAACCGACAACCGTTGGGGAAAAAAGGTTCTCGAGTGGCAGGCTCGTATCGGTAGGCAAAGTGTAGCGTGTAGCGACCCCCCACTAGATAGAGTGACAACCTGATAAGACATGCAGGAAGTCTATGGATGCAGGTGGCTCAGGACCGTGCTTTGTGGCATACCTTGGGGGAGGCATATGTTCAGCAGTGGACTTGTGAAGGGTTGTAATCACGATGATGATGAAAATGATTAATTGACTTATAATGAAAATGATATCCATAAAGTAGGGTGAATGAAGTGAGGCCAATATTTAGTAATATAAAAAAGATATTGACTTGTTTGTTGAGTTTATCTATGTGTCAAGTTGTCAATAATCAATGCCTGAAAATTTTAAAGCTATTAAAAATTATCTATTACTTAGAAAACAAAATATTATTAACATTGGTGTTTATAATAACATCATAATTATTATCATCATCATCATCATCATTACAGCCTATCAAAAGTCCCCTGCTGAAAATAGGCCTGATCCATAGATTGTTTCATACAGGGGAATTTATCATAGTTGCCAGGCTTGGCAATCGAGTTGGCAACCGCAGTTTTTTTATTTTCTTTATGTTATTAGGAAGACACTGTTACCCACATCCTGGTTGTTTACCTTTGTCGGCTATTACGACACCCACGTAACGATATGGGGTTGTGGAAATTCTTACACTGGCACACTACACTGGCTTAATAACCTTATGTATAAAGCAAAAATATAAAAACGACATCCTAAAAAGTTTACATACAGAATTAGCAGTGTTTCACTCCTGTGCCTGGAAAATCACGTAAAGCCGTTAGTTGTACGAATGAGTTCGCTCTGATCTACTGACTACACTCCGGAATATGAGAGTGAAGCAATAGAGAGCGCAGTTGTGCCCTCTAACTCGGGCTCAATAATCCTGTCCTACGCAAATGATAGCCTTCGTAGAGAAGCCGCCCTCACTGAAATTCAGTCTGGAGGAGATTATTATTTTCATTTACATATGTCCGCCCGTAGCTCTTTTGATTGTGAAAACTAATATCTCGTTTGCTTTCTCATCGTCATTTCGTCATAACTGTATGGCGTTAGCGTAAAATGAATATGTCGGATATCAACTGTCAAATACTTGCGGCACACAATTAATATTGATGTAAAGCAAATTAAGGTGTATAATATCACATGAAAGGCATTAATGAGTAAATTCTTAAGATATAATATGTGTTCGTATACAAAATAAACTTGAGTCACTTTAGTCAACTTCTTTTTTATAACAATAATTTACTTGTGTTTTTGTTGTAACTATAATTATTAGGCCTTTGACTGCAGTGTCAGTCACTGTACGGAGTATTGCATTTAAAACGTGACTGATGGCAGTTTAAATGTTAAGTAGAATATTTCATACGAATTCCTTTTTTTAATTCTAGAAACAATTATGTGACCAAGTTTTGTTTCACACTGTGTATAATATTACTTTGCTGTTTTCATTAATGCAAATAAAATTGTTTCACTGATTAATTGCGAGTTTCTTTAAACTTTTTCTTAGCCAGATTGGATTATTTCTAAATTATTTTATATCTTCTATATATTATATCTACAGTTTCGGTTCTGCTGCACTGGGTCCGGCTAATTCTACTTCAATGTGTGGTATTGCTGCTTGAGGAGTTGTTATCCGACCTTCGCGTTCCAAACGATCATGTTCTCGAGCTACTAAGGTTTCAAGGTCCTCCTGAAAGAGACAAAGCATGTTAGTAAGTATATTTTATGAATTAAACATTACCTATTAGTTACATCCACAAGTTTGTTTTGTACAACGATGTTAAACTTGATGAAAAGCCATGCGCATGCACATTACGTGTTTTATTTATTTATTTAAATCAACCCATGAGCCAAGTAGTGTCGGTGCAAGAATATCCACAAACCTATATCGTTACATGGGTGTCGTAAAAGGCAACAGAGAAAAATTTAAACAGGTGATGGGCGGCAGATAACATCTCAAAACTAATTAAAAAACTGCGGTTGAAAACCGCTCGGCCAGTGTGTCAACTATGGCCCATCTCCCCCATGAGGCATTCTTTGGGGGAGGCCTATGTTCAGCAGTGGACTTAGGACTGTAATGGTATGTGGCTAACAGAACACATTGCAAAATGCTACATTTCATATTATGTCATGCAAATTACAATAATAAATTGTGTATACAAAATTAAAAATTGGGATGTCATAATGAATAGATAAATAATAGTAATGCAATAAATACTACTTTTACGAATAAAAAAAAGTAAAGTTACAGTCTATATACGTCCCACTGCTGGGCACAGGCCTCCTCTTATTTCTGAGAAGGTTTTAGGGCAAGGAAGTGTCCGCCGCGCTGCCCCAATGCGTGTTGGCGAACTTCACATGTCTTCGAAATATTTTTTTTTACTTATTCCTCAGACATGCAGGTTTCCTCACGATGTTTTCCTTCATCGCCGTGCACGTGGTAAATCAGCACTTAAAATTGCAATTAACAATTTCATTGGTGCCGGCGGGGATCGAACCCGGTTTGCTCGCGTACTGTGAAATGTACAGCGAGCGCTAACTATCTGAGCTACCACGGCTCAATAATATATTTAATATTTTTTACGAATACGAATATCAAACCTACTACTCAACGAATATGAATACGAATATCTCGCCATGGTAACGAAAAACTAATTTATTTGATGATTTTATATTGTTCTAATAATAAAAATTTACGAGAGGCAAATTTTTATTTAAAACATAAAATTTGTAGATTTTCTGGTTTTAGGCGATTTCTGTTCCCAGCCGTTGAAAAAAGTCTTTCCGAGGCGACTGTACATGGTTTCAGTGTAAAAATATTGTTTGGGCGAGTTTTTTCAGCCTTTGAAAATGGACATCTTCTCGCCAAATAAAAGGCCAATGGATTAAAGGCACGATTTAAGACTTCGTATTATTGGGATTGCTTGAGATAATGTCGTTGATCCTTTGCTTATCTCTTTAGTAGCTTTTCAAAATTGACCAGAATATCAATAATTTGGCTCAAAAGAGCACATTGCCTGACTTGTTGAGAATCTTTCAGTTGTTTGAGTGTTAAAATGAGTAACAACTCCCTTGCATTTGCGTAGCCGTCGTTGCGGCTCCTTAGCTGAAAATATGACGTGTGCATAGGCCTAGAAATATGCATGTGTCTCACTCGCGCTTACAACTTTCTATATATCACCTATTTTTAGTTTTACGAAAATGCCGTAGGATGAGTTGTTTTTATGTATTTCTTTGGATATTCGTAAAATTTATATATTGTGATATATTATACTTTCGAGGATAGCTTCTATTCTACTTACACAAAACACTATATTATTTTCCAGGCGGTAAGTCTCCCAGTATATATATTTTTTATAAAATAAGGGTGGCAAACAAGTACACAGTCCACCTGATGGTACGCAGATGCTGTGGCCCATATACATCTACATTTATACTCAATAAAGAATCAGAAATGGGCTTCCTGTTTTAAGCTGGTATTTTGTGAGAGCCTAGATGGATCACGCTCTTACAAACGAGTACTCAGGTCGAGCCGACCCATTCCTACTGCAACCATTATACAGTTGCAGCCTGGCTCTACTACGTATGTCGACAGTTTTATGCCGAACGAGCACCAGAGTAGTACATGAACGCGCGGTGAGCGCGGCTGGTACACGTGTTTGGCCACGCACACAGCCAAGGTGGTAAACGGCGCCTCACCTCGCCACCCGTATGCCTATTTTCTGTAGAACCATCTCATTGTCGTATTCTGTACCAAATGTAATGAAATTGTAAAATTGTGATTTGTGTAACTTTTCCTTATGAGTGTGTCAATAAATTATTATTATTGGGGGTTATTGATGTTTTTTTTTTTAATAGAAGAGGGGCAAACGAGCATACTGTTCACCTGATGTTGGACCGACTGCAACACCAGGAGAATTGCAAGTATTCACATCTGGTTGGGCTGGATAAATATACAAAAGGAAATGATAAATATACATAAATATATATTTAATATACTAACATAAATAAATAAAAGCCCAACCAGATGGAGGCCCTCGGCAGGGGAGACCAAACGGCCGAGGGTTGGGTGGAAAAGGAAAAAACCAGCGGACGACGCGAGCGGTATCGAGGAGCATTGCCTTCTGCATTTGAGCCCAGAGCGGTCGGTCACGGAGTCCCAGCCGCCTCAGATGACTCGAGAGGCTGGCTGGGAATTATTATTATTATTGTCCACCGCACTCTACAGCAGCGAATAATACTGTGAGTAGTTTCTGCCTCAGTGTTTCCAGACCGACCATACCCGATACGAATAAAGATGGATATTAATAGGTCATAGGCCACTTTACAGTTTACGTGGCCTGACTATCTTTGTAGATATAAAGGTGACAAGCGAGCACACAGTCCTGATGGTAGCTCATCATCATATTCTTTAGTAGTATAATAACAGTTACCAAACAACTTGTTGCTTAGTAAAAATTGTAGTTCTTTATAGATAGATGGTATAGTACTGACCGCCCACCCAAGCCGCTGGGCCAGGTCGCGGCAGCCGTCGTCGCAGTCGCCCAGGCGCGCCACGTCGCGCACGCCGCCGTCCAGCTGCAGGCCGGCGCCCGCCAGCCCCCACATGCGCAGCAGCGGCGATCGCACGCCCGCGCGCTCGCGGTTGATCAGCAGCCGCGGACACCACTCCGGCACCCTGCCATAATATCATACACTGACCCCACGGTTTTTTAGTAGACTAGCCTGCCATAATATCATACACTGACCCCACGGTTTTTTAGTAGACTAGCCTGCCATAATATCGTACACTGACCCCACGGTTTTTTAGTAGACTAGCCTGCCATAATATCATACACTGACCCCACGGTTTTTTAGTAGACTAGCCTGCCATAATATCGTACACTGACCCCACGGTTTTTTAGTAGACTAGCCTGCCATAATATCATACACTGACCCCACGGTTTTTTAGTAGACTAGCCTGCCATAATATCATACACTGACCCCACGGTTTTTTAGTAGACTAGTGTCTAAGATTCAGGCTCGGCCTAGTTTAGACGCTACTGCATAAAATGGTATAAGTTATAACTCATATCACTTGGTCAAATGTCTTAAGGATAACCCTTATATTTTCGCCATATCCATTAGCCCGCAGTTTTACTCAAATACCCCAGGTGCTACAATGCTGTAATTAAAGGATAAGGGTGACAAACAAATATACAGCCCTGATGGTAAGTGAATACTATGGCCTTGATTAGGAATAAAAATGTACATGCTTTGTCACCCCTGAATGCCGTGTTACTAGTAAATAGGGTCTACGGTCTATACCCTCCTCATATGAAAAACAGCAGCATTAAACTGCTATTTTACATTGGTATTCTATGAGAGCATGATTCCTTCCCAGTCGAGCAGACCCATTAGAACTGCAACCGTAATATAGTTATAGTGTGGCTCTACTATGCACAAAAATAAATTTTTAATAGAAGTACTATAAATCCTAGAGTTGTTGTAGCTAGGGGGTAAACGCTTACCGTAAATATCATAATATGTCAACAACACACATTCAATTCCCATCAACCCAATGAAGTTGTTGATTGCAGTTTTAAATGGTGATTTATCACTTTTATTTTTAGTTATACATGCTCCAGCTACCAATTTTTATACAGGCATGTCATAACTGTGACAGAAAACATTTATTTTAATGGTGGGTAGCAAACGAGCACACATTCCTAATGGTGTGTGGCCCATAAACATCTACATCTTTCCTCCATCTATTTTTCTACAGCAAACCTGAAAACTGAGACTAATTTATCTTATTTCTAGTAAAAAGGTCTCCAGTTCTCTACACTCACAATACAAAACACAGTAGCATTAAGCTGCTATTTTACGCTAGTATTCTGTGAGAGCTATCTCAGTCAAGACAACATATTACATCTACAACTGTAAAATAACTGTAGCTTGGTTCTAAAACGTAAGGTTGTGATATCAGAGGAACCACGCTAGTGTCATAACAACGAAATTACCAAGCAATAAATAGCAAGGAAAAAGAACACCAGCGCCAACAAGTCGAGCAAGATGAAATAATAGAGATATAATCCGATCGATTTTTTGAAACACTCCTTTCAATTTAAAAGTCACTTATTAGTATAGCGATATTATTGTTACCAAAATATATATTTTTAATATTTTAAAAGATGTGTACCTTAAATTCTGTTGGAAATTCTAAGAAATAATACTTTGCTGTGTTAATGTTTATTATAGGTTTTAATGATTGAGAAATGGAGATCGTAAGAACACTTTTTATGATTTGGTTACCTTTTATTTTTTCGTAGCTTGGATAAGGTATGGATATGACATACAGTAATATGCTTTTTGACATGAATAAGTTTTTACTGCAGCTGGAATTCATATGTAATATTCCTTGATCTTGGACCGCATCTGGAATATATTGTCTCAACCATAGATGGATCACATGGGGTACTCTGGTACTTTTTATATGTGTATTTGTATATAAATATATACAAATTACACCAGCCACATGCATACAGGTAAAGCCACGTTGCTTTATATCACGCTTTATGCCACAAACAGGTTGACAATGCATTAAGATTGCTGTATTTAGACTCTTTATTGTGGGCAGTTGTAGGAGTTTGTAGATAAAAGACACCACTTACTAATACTATATAACATAATAATAACTTAATAGGTTGCAACTATTTAGTTCTTAGTTCCCCTTACTTAAAAAAGATAGACCCTTATTGAAAAAGTTGTTTCATTTTTGTATTCCATACTCATGGAATGATCAATCCATAATGTTGGTTCTATGACCTACACAATAAAGTGTTTAGCTAATGTAAAATAGTTAATAATAAAAAACCATAGACATTAAAATACTTACATATCTATTAATGATGCAAAAGGCTGTACTTCAAGTGATGAGCCCATTATAATAAGCATATCACATTGCTGGAAGTCTTCCTGAAGGCAACTCTGGAATCTCTCCGGAAGACTCTCCCCAAAGAACACTATGTCAGGCTTAATAATCCCCGGGCATTCTGTGCATATTGGTATTTGATCCGCAAATATTATCTCTGAAAAAAAAATGATTGTAAGTTAGAATGCAATACCTACATAAGTCTACCCTAATCTTCAATAAATTAGGGTGTTTTAGGTTAAATTTTAACCTAGGAATCAAGCACAGTCTGTTTGATTTGTTTTGTCCATTGTTAATTAGAGATTAGAGCAGTAGTTGAGTTTGGTGCCCTTTGGAAACCAGATTGTTGTAAAGAGAAAAGTTATTGAATTCTGAAGGTTTTCAGTTGAGTATATAAAATATAACTTTATCGATCATTTTATAAAGCAATAGTATTTGATTTTTATGTTATCGTTGTGTGTTGCTAGACATCCAGGGATACACTCGAAGGAAACAACAATGATAGTGGTAAATAATTATAAAGAATCAGGGAAATAAAATTTTAGCATTTTCAAATCATTACTTTTCTGTATGTATAGCCATATTGTCTTTCTGCAATCTTTAACACTAATTTAAAACAATAAACAATAAAAGATTCCTATTTATTTTATTTAACTACACAAAGTTAAATTGGCTAACCCTTAATCGCCATTTTAGAAGCTTTATTTTATGTAATAGTAATGAAGGAAGGCTGTGAATAGGTAAATTTAATGTTAAAATTATCAGGTACATCAACCAGGTAAGAGCGATTACACTGACCCTAAATCCTACAGGCCCATTAGCCTCACATCCTTTCTCCTAAAGACGATGGAGAGGATGTATGAAAGGGAATTAAGGGGGTCGGCGCTAATGAACTTACCACTACACGACAAGCAACACGCCTACAGTCTAGGCAAATCAACAGAATCGGCACTTCATCAGGTATTTACAAAGATTGAAGAGGCCATCCAAAACAAAGAAATATGTCTAGGTTCCTTCATAGATATAGAAGGTGCTTTTGACAGAACGAACTTCTCCAGCATAAAAGGTGCACTCAGTAGACATAAAGTTGAACCGGCACTGATCGACTGGATAGTTTGCATGCTCAGTACACGAATAATAAAGATTGCTGGTGAATCTCAACCAATCCAAATTAAGAAAGGCTGCCTGCAGGGTGGGGTTCTCTCACCTCTCCTGTGGAATATAGTCATTAATGAACTCATCAGCAAATTAAATACTAATCACTTCTATACAGTAGGTTATGCTGATGACCTGACAATACTGGTCTCGGGAAAGACAGCAAGCATAGTGTGCGACCTGACCCAAGCGGCTCTCCGTATAGTGGAGAGATGGTGCAGGGAATACAACTTAACCGTCAATCCAAATAAAACGGTTTTAGTAATGTTCACACAAAAACGAATGCTGAATAACTATCACCTTCCAAGTCTTTTCAGCACAAAACTCCAGCTATCCTCTGAGGTAAAATATTTAGGTCTTACCTTGGTCACAGCAAACTTAACTGGAATAAACACATAGAAAACAAAATCAACAAAGCTAGTATAACTTTGGGGACTGACGCCAAAAATCATACTGTGGCTTTACAAAACTGTAATTCGGCCCATGATCACATACGGCGCTCTGGTATGGTGGACCAAGACAAATGAAGCCACCACAATTAAGAAGCTTCAGCACTACCAGAGACTGGCATGTATGGCTGCCACAGGCTGCATAAGAACTACGTCAACAGCAGCCTTGGAAGCGATGCTGGAGCTAACTCCGCTTCATCTACATATAGAACAAGAAGCGACTTTAGCTGCCATCAGACTCAAGACCCTAAAGGAGTAAGAATAGTGTCCCTCATACAGGCATAATTGATAGAATTCACTCAGAAATTCCTATCCTACAAGCCAAATACGATAGGATTCCTAAACAATTTGTTTTCGATAAGAAATACAAGATACAATTAAATGAAAACAGCCAGCCAAGCCCAAAAGAGCTTAGAGTTTTCAGCGATGGTTCTAAAACAAATGAAGGTGTAGGTTCTGGAGCTTTCTCTGAAGACCTCAATATTCACATATGCACACCGCTAGGTACCTATAACACGGTCTTTCAGGCGGAATGTATGGGTATCATTCAAGCGGCCATAGCAATAGATGCTAGGAAGGTTAATGACTTCCCCAACAGAATACTGACCGACAGTAGGGCGGTACTAGCAAGCTCTGAGTTGCAATGGGGTGAACTCGGGACTAATATATGAATGCCATCAACGATTAAATGAGGTATGTAAAAACAACAATGTGACTCTGCAATGGATAAAGGGACACAGTGGATCCAGAGGCAACGATGCAGCGGACGAACTGGCCAGAAGAGGATCGGCTCTGGCCACTATAGGGCCGGAACCAATCATACCAATCCCCTTTGGTAACCTTCGTTCACTGGTACGTAGAACTTCACTAATCAACACGCTCAGCTTTGGAAAAATCTAGTAGACTGTAGACAAACTAGGGAGGCCCTACCTGTAATAAACAGTCGCTTAACCAAAGTTTTAATGAGACTGAACAAGCCGCAGATCAGGATAGTAACAAGTGCTATCACAGGACACGGCACCTTTAACAAACATTTATTTACTATAGCTGTTACACATAGTCCCCTGTGCAGGGCATGTATGGGGGAGGAAGAAACGGCGGCCCACGTGCTACTGAAATGTCCGGAGGTCGCTATGTACAGGGCTAAACATCTCGGCACGCCGGGATCACTCCCCGAAGTTGCATGCAACATCAAGGGACTGTTGAGCTTCTTCGGGGAGATCTCATGGCTCGAATAATCACATTATTCCTGCCCACACGCAAAATACGCGCATAGAAGTGGAGTTGCGGAAAACAGCCCGTCGCAAACTAAACTAAACTATCAGGTACATTAAAAAAATACCAATTGAATTGGCATGCATAGAACCAGAAAGTAACGCATCATTCTTTATTTAAATATAAAACAGTTTTTATGTTTTTAAGGAACTTGTGGCTGAGTGAATTTAAAACTTTAACTTACTTTTTCAGGGCCTAAACAGAGCTTTAACACACTTTTCTATAAATCACATAACCCCAAACATAGAATACTATAATAGTAATATAATAATATAATAGAACGGGGGAGTGGGCGGAACCCGTGTAGCCACTAAAATGTCAACACGAAATGTGTTTTGACGTTACAATCGTTTCCAAATTTCGCATGCAAATTATTCAAAAAATGCCAAATTGCACCCTATTTACAAATAAATATGTATTAAAATATAAACGATTTTTTTAATGATGATCTTGAACATTAATCAAAGTCTAAAATGTGTAAATTTATTCGGTCTGTCAACACAGCGAATCGAGTTTGGCGACGCCAAACCTCGTACAAAATAAAGTTGACAGCCATTCTATTGTGTATTATAGTATTCTATAGCCTCAAAGGAGTGAAAAATCTGATGTGAAAATTGTGATGATGAAACTCAATGACATGATATATTACATGCTCTTCTATATATTTATATAAAATTCTTCAAAACTATACATTTATATAAAATTGAATTGTCTGTCTGTAATATCAAAATAGCTGCCTTTTATTGAGCTCAGGAGATACCAATTAATCATGAATGACCTTTTGTAACTTTCTGTCTGTCCAGGTAACTTCACTGCAATGCAAAGAGTGATTTAATATGATAATTTCAACCACAAGTGCGTCACAAAATATAAAAGTTCAATTTTATAGCAAATAAATGTTACAATCCTTATGTTAGGATAAAGAGATGGTAAGCCTAAATTTTAGCGTAATAAATCAATAAAATATTGTCTTGCGAGTAAAATTGTATTGTAATAGCGCCATCTAGTTCATTCTGTAGGTTAAATTAATTTTACCAAACATAAATTGATTGACTCTCAAGGTGGTATGTATAAGAGACACTAGATGGTCTGAAGTTATGTAATTGTAGATTGTTATGAATAGATTGGACATGATAATTTGATTCAATATGGTTAATTTTATTTTATTAATAAATTCATTAATTTATTATGCTGTTTATTTTAAGTTAAAATTTAAATTAAAAGCACCACTCAACAATGAGACTGACATAATAGAAAACACTTTGTTTAAAGAAAACTGCTAGCTAGCTGCTAACTTATAACATTTAAGAGTGGTAAAGTCACGCGGCAGCTTTTGCTGTTGTACGTATGGGCCGGCCCGAATTGGGGCGGAACCACGACTTCACAGAAATACCGGCGAAGTGGAAGCTTTGATTCTGCGTTTCGTTTGGTAGAGTGCAGGTGGCCAGAGCCCCCCCCCCCCCATGTACATGGTAGCGGAATTAAGTGTAAGACTACCCCAAGAGGGTACCAGCCCTCCTGGAGAATACCTCGCTGAGCACACAAGACTAAGCTACTCCACTCCTGAGCGGGGGTTCTCAGGCTGCCACGCGTATTCTGGGAGGGGGGGGGGGGCAACTACCGCTCAAGACAATAACTGCTCGGGGCTGAACTGAACAACAACACCAAGGCGACCCTTGCCACGCTATCTGTGAATTTCTGCAATATCAGGGACTTCACTCTAACCTAAACGCTGTCCAGTGACGTAGTGGATGCACTACCATCTCGTTTTGTTCTCGTTTGTCACTCTTATTCTATAAAAATAAAAAAAATCTCGAGACGGCGAAGCCGGCCTTGCTCTTACTGACCAAAACATAAGTGTCCTCTACGGCTGATACTTTGTATCTATCCCACCCGGGGCACAAATTGGAACACTCCTTTGTGCCTCGGGCTGGAGTTTGCGTGTATGTCAGAGAGGACATCTGTTCTCTACGACTCGGCAGTTTTGAAGGACCTGTCCTACCTTTGGCTACGCGTAGACTGCGACGACCATCCGTGTGTCTACGGGTGCCTCTGTAGGTTCCATAGCGGTAATGCCGAAACAGACCGACCCAGTGACAACATCCATTTGGCTACAGATTTATTGCTACAGCAGATCCCATCCACAGAGATCGCGATCCTCGGCAATTTTAACACCCACTATGCCGAATAGCTCGGTTCACGTTTAAACGATCATGCGGGAAGATCTATTCATGACTTTGCCTTGGTATACAACACAACTAACTGGTTACTTCGCCTACGCGGATTCCAGATGTGGAGGATCATGCACCTTCCTGTTGGACCTTCTGCCGACCTTTCATACGGACGGATATCAGGTTTCCCTCGACGCCCCTCTTGGCTGTTCGGACCATTGTCTTGTCCGGAGTGTGGTGGTACTCACGCTGAAATCGCGATTGCTTTCTGCAGGCTGCCGCCATGTTTGTCACTACAGATCGGCCGATTGGCATAGGATGCAATATTTCCTTGCATCCTACACTTGGGCGGGTTTGCTTTTCACCGGACAATCCCAACTTTGTTGCTAATTCTGTCGCGGATGTGGTCCTTCAGGGTATGGAACTTTTTATTCCTTCTTCTGTGAAGCCTATCGGAGGCAGATCACAGCCATGGTTTAGTCTGCATAGCATGATGCTATTTTAGAGAAGAGACTAAACCATGGAGTGCTATTGGACTTGGGCTGATGCATCAACATCCGGGATGTAAACTCCAGAGCCCTTAAAGAGAAGTATAATTCCGTCTCCAGAACCTACAAAAGAGTCACATTGCCTAAACAAAAGTCGGAGCACATAGGCAGAATTGGCGAGAAACTAGTTCGCCTTCCTTCTGGAACGCGTGCGTGCACTCTGGTCTCTCACCAAGCCTGTCCAAAGGAATTTCTGTCAGCCATCACTTCCATCTCTGCACAGGGAGGACAATTCAACAATAATCTGCTAGGCTTTTTCCTTGCGTCCAACTCGACTCTCGATGATGGAGATATCACACTGCCGACCATCCTGCGGTGTGAGTGCCCCATGCTGAATGTGCGGTTCACACAGCACTATGTTCGCAAAGCACTCCTCTCCCTGGACCCCAATTGTGCTGAGGTTCTAACGCGTCTTTTCCAGTACTCCTATTCCTTAGGCGTAGTCCCGAAATCATTTAAGACGGCTTTCGTCCACCCGATTACTAAAAAGGGCGACCGCTCAGATCCATCCAACTATAGGCTTATCGCCGTCACCTTTTGTTCTCCAAAATAATGGAATCCATTATAAATTGCCAGCTCATGCGGTACCTTGAAGACAACCAGCTGATTAAGTGACCGCCAATACGGTCGCTGGGGTCGACCAGCTGTGATCTTCTGGTCTATTATTAATGCTCGTTTTTACAAGGCTGCGTGCTATCACCAACGCTATTTCCTCTGCATATCAATGATATGTTGCAAACCGGTAACATTGATTGCTATGTGGACGACAGCACTGGTGATGCTTTATAATACACCGGCCGTGCGCCGGAAAACGTCACCGAGTACTGGTACACTGGTATAAACTTGTGTCTGAAATCGAAACTTTATTGAACAAAGTCTCGGACTGAGGGCGTCTAAATCTAGTCCATTTCAACAAAAGACACAAGTTTGTGCGTTTACCGCTAAAAAGAATCTCTTCATCTTATCTTCTCAGTTTAAAGGCATTCGCCTTGTTGCCTTAGCCAGTATTGGAATCCTCGGCGTTGACATATTGAGTGACGTGCAGTTTAGTGGTCACTTGGAAAAGAAGGCCAAATTGCCTGCAACTTTACTAGGCGTAGGTTCAGCCGCACATGGAATACTGTTCCAATATCTGGGTTGGGGCTCCCCAGTGCCAGCTCCTTCCATTTGATTGCATCCAGCGCAGAGCGGTTTGAATCGTTGGTGACTGAGCTCTTTTAGATCGGCTTGACTCACTGGCACAGCAAAGAAATATTGTATTTCTTTGCGTATTTTATTTAATTTACTACGGGGAGTGCTCTGAGGAGGAGTACCATCGCACATCGCGACAAACAATCCATACCATCAGGATGACTGACAGTCCACCACTGTGCGATTTAAAAGAAGTTTTCTTACACACACAACTTCCTAATGAAATCCATTACCATCAGAAGTTTTTCTGGACCAATACAACTTAGGGACCTACAAGAAAAGAGCCTACTCCTTTTTAAAAGGCCGGCAACGCATCTGCAATCCCCCTGGTGTTGCAGTTGTTCATGGGCGTTGGTAGTCATCATCAGGTGTGCTGCACGCTCATTTGCCCCCTCTCCTATGAAAAAAGATAAATTTGTAACGTGAACACAATAAGGTTAATAAACAAGCTGACCTTTAACAAATTCGAGAGGATATTCTTTGCAACACTCTAAGCAGTGTGAGGTGTAGAATGTTCCGTGTGCTTCCACAATTTTTTCTTCGGGAATACCAGCAACTCTTTCTAAAGTGTCTATGTTTTGTGTGTAATGACGAAGGAGAAGACCTGAAAACCATTTAACACATTAATTAAGTACTTCATACCATAACTTCCACAATGGCTAAAAGAGCAATATAGATGAAAGATATAGATAAAATATAGTCTAGGTTGGGTGATGTTCCCCGCCCCCCCAAACCCAAACGGTTCCTGCCTCGTCATGGCGCGAGGTTTAGTAGCCGTGGCTTGGTCACCCAAAAGATGTCTGTTCAACAAAGGAGACAGTGGCTGCATTTAGTATGTCTTGCCAGAATGCCAGATTAATCTTTTGCCTAGACCATAGAATACATAATAGTACTACGTAACTTGACATTTCATAAGCAATCACAATGTCTGTATAAGTTTATAAATTCCTCGCTAACCCCTTTGGAATTAACTCTTAAATCCATTTCTGAATAAACACACATTTTAACTACACTCAACAATGGCAGACTGACGCTTGACTCGTTCAGACACGTACATATGCTTGAGTCAAGCTCTGCGGCTCACTTTAGTAGGTACATTTATTTAATTTCATTGTGCCAGCTCAAACTATAGGAGACCATTATATAAAATATAAGCTAAAGCTAAGAAAAAAAAAACTCTGATGTCTTTTCTTTATAGGATAGGGTGACAAACGAGCATACAGTCCACCTGATGGTAAGTGGTTGCTGCGGCCCATAGACATCTACATCTAATAGATGTAGATGTCATCTATCCTCATTTACAAATCAAAATGCAGATGCACTGTCACCCATGAGGACTAAGATGGAATGCTTCGTTTTCAGTAAAAAGGCTCTCCGGTTCTCTACTCACCATTCGAAACACAGCAGCATTAAGCATTAATTTTACGCTGGTATTCTATGAGAGTGTGGTCCTTCCCGGGTCGAGCCGACCCATTTGTGCTACAACTATACTACTAATATAACTGCAGCATGGCTCTACCACGTATATAACTCTACCACATGTATAATGTGAGTAATATTTAACAATAGTTATAAAAACTGTCAACAAAACAATAATTGTTAAGAAAATTATAAAACAATAAAATAAGGAACCAAAGAAATCTTTAAGAATTGCAGAAGATATTAAAACAATTTGCAATGTATAATATGTTCCATCATCTTGTTTTACAGGTAAATATAATTGGAAGATGAAATAAGATAGTAAGTAAAAAGCAGATTGACAATAATGAAGAGGCAAGTCAAATGAAAATGAAATTTTCTATTTAAAGCAAGCCTTTAAAATTAATCCAACTTGATTGATAAAGAATCTTAAAAAATGCTTATGGTTTCGGTAATAAATCTAGTGCTTTGAAATAATAATGCATTTGTTCCTCTACACCACTCTCATGAAATGGTAATACACTATTCTTGGGAAAAATTAAAGAGAAAATCTCATAGACCAGGTACCTTGACAATCACCAGCTGATTAGTGATCGCCAATATGTTTTCGTCATGGTTGATCAGCTGGTGATCTTCTGGTCTACCTGACTCATAGATGGGTGGCGGCAGTAGAGTCCAAGGGGGAGGCATTTTCCTTTAGTTTGGACATTGCGAAGGCCTTCGACCAGGTTTGACACAAAGCGCTTCTTTCCAAGCTCCCTTCCTATTGGCTTCCCGAGAAATTGTGCAATTGGATCACCGTTTTCTTGCAGAACGGAGCATCGAGGTTGTTGTAGACAGTGCATGCTGGTGTTCCACAAGGCTAGTTCCACAAACAATTCAAAATCCAACCCTAAGTGTATCCACATAATGAAGTACTGACCTAATGATTTCTTATATTTACGCGAATACTACACATGACATGGGACAGTCAGACATTTGATTCCCCCCCGTGAGCATGGGTGCTGCAAAGGGCCCAAAACATTGGGAATTAAAAAAGTTTAAATTAATCACGATAAAATCTGTAAATTTATTTTTATTATAAATACTGATCAATCACATATTGCCCGAGGGGTCAGTTAACTGAAATGGCAGTGGGTTGGCCATATAGCTTGAATAAGTAACAACTGTGGGAAAAAGATGTACTGGTATGGAAGCTTGGTACTAGTAAGCGATGTGTAGGTCAACCCCCACTAGATAGCCCCACTAGAGTGACAACCTGGTAAGAGATCCAGTGAGTTGATAGATGCAGGTCGCTCAGAACCATACTTTATGGTATGTCTTGGGGAAGATCTATGTTCAGCAGTAGACTTGCGATGGGCCATAATTATGATGATAATGATGACTAATAAAACCATAATGCAAATACATAAAAATTCTATTACAACATAACACAAAACTATGCCCTGTAAAGTTTTCAGAAAAATAATATATGGCAGCTCTGATTTAACATACCTTTTTCATGGAGGAGCCTTATAAAATAATGGGAAACTGTTGGTTTAAAAGTGCCAGGGTACAGTTCTTTTGCCAATGTGAAAAATGGTTTAGGATTTTGTCTAAAGAAGTTGATTTCAAATATCGCTTGTGGTTCCGGGAGGTTGTACTTTTGCAGGTTATGGTACAATCCTGTTTCTGGACTCCGAAAATCTGGTATGCCGGCCGCTAGAATTAGAATTTATAATATAGTTAATATAGTTACATGTCTCTAACAACATGCCAAATTATAAAAATTTAACTACTATACTAGTTTTATTAAGATATTATTTTAAATTTATAGTCAAATCAGAAGTATAATATTCTTAACACAAAAACTAAATATAATTGAACTAAATCTAGTCCCTATGAAACTCTTTTAAAAAGAATAATTATTTATTATTAATTATTTTGAACAGATAATAATGAGATAAAAACAACATTTTCGTACCAGTGGAAATCCCTGCTCCGGACAGAGTTATTATGTTTTTGCATTTTTCGCTTTTAATCCATTTGACAATTCCATCTAAAGAAACTTCTTCCAACACTTGCTCTACCGGGGTTGTTGCTTCTGGCGGCTCATAAAATCCTAACTTTTGAGCCAAATAACGACGAATAGAATCCACATCTAGATCACGGATTCTAGCACCTAAGTTCTCAATTGGATTTGGCGGGACAGACTCCTCAATAGGTTCTACGTCTAAAATGCAAAATATACTAGTAGTAAGATATAATATAAATTAAAATACTGTAATTATTAATAAATGCCTCACTTTCGCTCTTTCCCGGTGGCGAATTGGCGGACATTTTTGATGAATAATATCGCAAATTTGTTGAATTGCGACTACAAATCAAAACCTTTGTCCGATTCTGCCAGAGCCACAGTGTTTTTGACAGATAAACGACGCGCATTCTCGGAAATAGCTATGGAAAATTTTACCTATATTATTAGAAAAAAAAATAGGTACGTTGACTATTTGAAATGCTTATTTGGAAAATTTTCGATATGTTTATGTAAACAATTTATTTGTAAAAAGAAAATGAAAATGCACATTGTAAGTTATATTTTATTTGTCTGATCTGATTTCAAAAGTAAGAGTAAATACTAAACACATATATTATAATTATAATACTATAGTGATAGATTCTTGCTGTAGCTATAATAATTATTAATATTATGGTTGTAGCAAAGATTATAGTAATAAAAGAGGAATGTGGGTTGTAGCAAAAATAGGTTGACTCGGCCGAGGTGGGACCTTACACTCACAGAATAACAGCGTTCTATTTTAGCAGTTTTATGCTGCTGTGTTTCATATGATGATGAGTGTGAAGCAACCGAAGCCCATTTTTTACTGGAAACGAGCCATTCCACCTTTGTTTTCAAAGGTGACACCCATAGATAAATAGATATGTAGATATGTAGCAACTAGCAAGGCGTAGACAGAGAAACCTAGTCTACGTAGCAAGGTGACACAGCATCTGCATTTTGATTTATTGAGGATAGACGTACGTATGTCTATGAGCCACAGACACTTAGTATTTACTATTTACCATTGGGTGGACTGTGTCACCACAAATTATTAAAAAGTACTTTGTCACCACTATTCTATAAAATACATAAAAGAAATTATGATTTTAGATATATAACAGTGAAATGTTGTGTATTAAATGTCTGCGCGTGTGAACCAATAGTGGAAATGCTGAAATAAATGCTTCGAATGTGATACAAAATTTCTAAGTTATTTGAGTTTTTAAGATACTATCGGTATCCTCATCATCAGTCCACAAGGTTAGGCTGTAGTTAAAGTTGTAAGAAAATTTTGCAATCACATCACCATTTGACTTAGACCATTCATTGAATGGTCTAAGCCATTTGAGGAAAAATATTGTGGACTAATTAAACGACAGACTTGGCTTTATGGTCTAAGATCTTTGCCGGTATTAATTCGCGAATCGAATCAACGACAACTATTTTTTTCCTCTCATTGACTCGTACGGTTATACTTTTGCTAGAGCCAAGTAATAAGGAATTGTCATTTATAGTCGTTTGTTTAAAAAACTTCTTCACAAGGTCGTCTACAACAAGGTCTTCTTTATTAATCCATAGGACTAATTTCAGCATAGGAATCTGCCTGGATAGGCCTGCCACCCTTTTGCTTATGCCTTTCATCATGCCAAATAGTAGTGCTTGCACTTCTGTGTTTTAGTCTGAAGGGTTTAGATAGCCAGTATAATTACAGGATGTGAGGAATTCTATCTTAGTGCTCAGAGGTACAACGCATCTGTAGTAGCGATGGGTGATGGTTGCAAAAAAATCGACTAAATCTAAAATTGTGATATTGCGCATTCGATTGTCGATTTAGTAGTTCCTAACAATGATTATTCGAATAACAATCGACATTCTACTGCAATCCGCAGAGATGTAATGCACAAATTGTTCTAAAGCAGGTATGATGACTAACCAAAGGCGTAACAGACTGGCGCCGAAAAAGTTGGATGAAATAAAATTTTAAATAAAAGTTTTGAACTAATTGTTAAGTTAAGATTATAATTCTTATTCTATTGAATAAAACTAAATTTACATATTTTATCGCGTTTAATTAATTACTTTTACTTATTTTAAATTCCCGACATTTCGGGTGCTTTACAGCACCCATGGTCAAAGCGTCATCAGGTGGACTGTGTGCTCGTTTATCATCCGTATTATATAAAAAATTTAAGAGTGGATTTTCACACCTACTTAAGTATTTATGATAAAAACGAAATCGTGTGTTTAGTCCTAGTATCCGTGGTTCAACATTTCGGCCACAGATGCCATCGTCATATTATACTGAATGACATCGGCGATCAACTAAGTTTTTATCTTAGAGTAATTATATACAGGGTTATTTTGCAATAACCGGCCAAATTTGCAGAGAAGGTTCAGAATTAGTAATATAGGCAATATACTTACTTACTTACTTACTTATCTTCACGCACAATCCCTAACGGGGTAGCGAGAGAGAACAGATCGCCAAGTGTCACGATTCTACATACCTCTTTCGCTTCTTTCAGGTTCATTAACTTCTTCATACATGCACGTCTAGGTATCCGAGTACTCTTGACCTTCCCCTCTTCGAGCAATTTGCTCACATGGTCTTCGAAAGTTAGTCTCGGTCTACCTCGACACCTTTTAATATTTACTTTCGCTCTATATATTTTCTTCACCATTCGGTCTTCACTCATTCGCTCAACGTGCCCAAACCATTGGAGTACGCCCCTATCAATTTTTGTGATAAGGTCATCTTTCAATCCTGCCATATTGCGAATCTCTTCATTTCGCTTTCGATCGGCTATGGTAACGCCACACATTTTACGAAGAGATCGCATCTCCACTGCATTCAACTTGCTTTTATGCTTCTTCTGGCATACCCAGGTTTCGCTGCCATATAACAAAGTCGGTACCAACACTGCGTTATGTATTGCAAGGCGTGCACTCTTCACCACGCCTTGCCTTTTGACTAATGTATTCAGGGCACCATTGACTTTGTTTCCGGCAGCGACGCGCCTATCCACATCTAAATCACATCTTCCATCCCGGCTGAAAGCACTCCCCAAGTATACAATTTCATTTACCTGTTCTAGACGTTCCTTATTTACCCATATTTCACATTTCGTTCTCTCTTCGTCCTTTTCAAATACAAGATTTGAAATCTGGTATCTGAAAAGGACGACGAATTTCAAATACCAGATAATATAGGCAATATATAGGTAATATAGTAATGTAGGTGGAAAAAAATAATTAAAAAATCAAACATTCTGTCCATGGTAACGCATTAACTGATTTTACTGCGTTCGTACAAATTCTTAAGGGCCGATAAGTAGCCAAAAATCGTTGTTGCCCATAAATCACATTCAATTTGGGACAATTTGAAATAAAAGTAGAAGCGTTATTTACTCGTATTTTCAAAAACTGCAACAACGGTAGATATTTATCATTATTTATATATTAGAACTTTTTGAAAAAATAAACCTGTATGTGCATAGAAGAAATCTGAATCTGACGAAATCAAGAATATACTATTTTACATATAGGGAGTTAATATACTTTTTTTTAATTTTTCTGATTTTATTTTGAAATAAGGCAAAAAGAGATAAATCAATTGAAAGATTTGTATTGTTGTGTTGTACCTAAATGCAAAAATACGAGTATAAGAACGCCGGGAAAGTTATGGATTCAAGTGCTAACTGATTTAAATATAAGAAATACTTGGCTAAAACCGGCAAGAAGATACCCCAAAACATTGTCTACATAAACCAGACTATTCTTCTGTGAAGATCATTTTGATGTAAGTATGAATTATATTTAACTATCGTTTAATACAAAACAAACATCATGAGGACTTAGATATTATAACTAATGATAGCTAATGATTGTAATTTTAAATAAACTAAACTATGATAGCAACTAAACTATGTTTTATCAAAATACACTCTCACCTGGTATTGTGTTTTTATATAAACAAAAGTTGGTAATAGATACTTACATTGATGTTTTAACACACTCAGCAGAACAAAAATTGCTATTGCATGCAAAAAATTTTGCCAACATCGATTTATTTATCCTTGGTAGATTAGTACTTTCTGCTTTTACGAATTCGTCTTCCATGATGCCTTATCAATAAAATTCGTAATAAAACTCGATAATCGTAATGATAACTTGAAAATTTTCAAAATAACACAGCACGTTAGCTAGTTCTTTTAATCAGTGATACAGAACACTAATATCCTTAGGCTGGATCAGTGACACCACGACATGGCTAATATGGCGGACACCGTTTTACAGATTTAAGGCACAGACGAAAAAAATATTCTTAAAATTGAAATATAAAATTTATAATGCAATTTTATAAACAGCAATCAATATTTATCGTTTACTTTTTACAAAATCTATCATAAATATATATTTTTTGATTTTATTTTACATGGTGTATAATAATAATAATAATAATGTCCTCCAGACCGAATTTTGGCCACGGCGGCCTGCCTCAACGGAGGCTAGTCATCGGCGCAGGACAGGATTATAGTGCCCAAGTGTATGCGCAAGCACAGGTGCACTCTCTATTCCCTCACTCTCGTAATCTGATGGGACGGTAAACTGACACGACCGGAGAGAGATCAGGCGCAGGACCAACGGCTTTACATGCTTTCCGAGGCACGGGGTTGAGACACCGCCAACTTCCTGACTCCGGACAGCTACTGAGAATTTCTTGACAGAATAACTCAATAATTGATTTTTGGCCCGACCCGGGATTCGAACCCAGGACCTCATGATCAGCAGTCGCACTACTACAACCACTAGACTAACGAGGCAGTCACATGGTGTATAATAACCTATTGACACGTACGTGTGTAGCTGCCCCATATAGTATATTATCTATGTGTAATGCTATGGTACTACTTCACATTTTCAGGCTGCTTTTGCTGGCCTGTGACCACATTGCTATCTATTGCAGTTCATGATATCTTTGTAGCTTTTATCATAGTTATTGAAGACAATAACAAGCAATTACAACAATATTGTATAATATAGCTATATATAGAGGATGAAACTGTATAAGTTACTTAATATATTTTCTCTAACATCCCATATCATCCCGTGGACGTGGATGTGGAGGCGACAGAGAAGAAGGAAACAGGAGATGGGCAGAAGCATCTTTCTCGTAATAGCTTGAAATAATATATAAAATATGTGGACGCCAAACGGCAAATATGAGGCAATCTATAGGGAGGCCTACATGTGTTCAGCAGGTTATAATGAATGAATTAATGAATGACGATGAGAACAATCAACACGCAAACTACAAAAAGAAAATGCTCCGATACGAAACGCTCCATTGATGCCAGCTGTTATGACAAGTACAATGCCAATTTTTTGATATTTTGAATGCACAGGTACAATGGTCTATGTTTGGTCTCTGACTGAATTTGGGTCCCAAATCCCAATCTAGTGCAGTCTAAACAAAACACCATTACCACCGTAATTTTACCGTGAGATAAAATTACCGTGCCATTACTGCCGCCGTAACTAGGGTCTTAGTGCCCTATTCATAGTGTAGTCTAATAGGCGATCAATTTTAAATCAAAGAGGCTGCTCCAATAAAACGACAACTTCATACTTTAACTCATATTATTAGTATCAATTTTCGGATAAATTCATATTCATTTGTTGCAACAAATAATTTAAATTAACGTTAACTAAAATAAATATGAAACAATTACATCGATTTTAAAAAATACACTAAAAAGTTTCTATTCTTATTTGAGAAAAAATTAAATATTTGAATCAAGAATGTTACAATGAAAAAATAAAAGAATTCAATTCCAGTGATAATGGACAATCCCATTAAAATTCCGGCTACACCACCGCCATTACCTGCAAAAATAGTCAATTTTAATTTCGGATTGTAAGACAAAATATACAACAGATTTTTTAATTATTTATCAAACAATCATTACAAATACATGTAGTGATAGCATTTAAAAACCACTAACCTTTACACCTGAGCTATCCAAAGCCTACAATTTTATAAGATTATATAGCATATATTAATATGTAAGTTTTGTTAAATAAAGCTATTAGTGTGTAGTTGAATACTATGAAAAGTAAAAACCATGGAATAAAAATGTAACACGGAGAAATTCGAGTTGTGATAGAACAGAGGTGATTACGGTGGAAAGTTACAATATTTCTTATCTATAAAATATTTTTTGTCACTGGATGAAAATTTTCAGAACCTCGGATGTTTGTAACACAATCTATATTTAAATTATATATTGAAATAATAATATGATTCGATATTATGTATAATATTCGCATTACCTATAGAACATAGCTATAATTCTTAATTCAAATCACAAATATCTTGCTCAATATAGGTACTTCTTATATTTGTATCGCTTGTGTCTTAAATTGTAGCTTTTAATTATTACCAATAGTTATTAAGCTCTCCCAGGCGTTCTATAGCCGATTTTTTAGTTTTTAAACATTTTATTATTTAATTTAATTTACGTAATTCGAAAAACGCCCTTAATTTTTTAAATTGTTTTTATAGAATATCTTGTTACAATGTTGGCGTATTTTAAATTGTATATTTTGCGTGTGCCTATAAAATAATAATACTTAGCGTAAAGAACGAACAAGCGAGCGAGATGTATGGACGTTATGCATTATAAGAAACGGATATTAATACGATATAAGTATTTTATGGCCCTGAAAAGGGCATTTGAAAATATGAACTGGTGTATTTGGTGACTGCCTTCGTGCCCTCACTGACGGCTGCTTGGCGAGTTCACCGGGCAACAGCAGTCTCACAGAGGTCTGCACTTCCCGTGAAGTTATAGTCGAACACTTGTTGTAATGAGCCAGGCGCGAGACCTCTGCGGCTGTGCGTTCGAAGATGTCGTTAACGAACGAGTTCATTATGGACATCGCTTTACTGGATATACCAGTATCGAGATTTTTTATAGGCTCCGAATACATTTTCTGTATCCTGGGGATCTAGGTATTACCTGCGTCATCGCATGCGTGCGGTTAGCATAATAAAATAATAAAATAATTTATTTTATAGAATTGCATAAAGTAGAATAATTTATGTTTAATATGCATTATAAATAATACGTATTTGAAGTAATTTATGCTTTTATATTTGTATATTATCAAGGACTGTTCAAGCACAAGCGAAGTAGAGTGTTTATTAAAAGTACTCTGTGAGTAGTTACTCGTAGTTACGAGTAGCACGTGTAAAACTCGTGGCACGTAACTTTAGCGCTGAACAAAACATATAGGGTTTAGCTGCAATACACGTATCAGTACGGGGGTTGGAATGCGACTGGAGAGCCAATGAGCCCGTGCAAACGATACGCACAGCCAATCATACCCAATTATGCGCAATAACGGTCACCACTAGAATTTCGTGCCGCGAGTTGTAGCAAATGGATCATATCTTGAACTAGACTGTTTACGATCTAATCATGATATAGGTACATTTATATAATTTTCTCGGTGGTGAAGGAGAACATATTAAAGAAACCTGCATGTTTGAGAAATAAAATAGAAATATATTTTAAAAGAAAAGCAATATATATATATATATATATATATATATATATATATATATGTATAATTTTTGGTGTATTTTGATTGTTATCTCTTTTGATGTCCATATAATAAATAAATAAATAAAAAGAATACCATTGCAAAATAGAAGCTAAGCCGATATCGTTTTAGGGGGTTTCTGTGACTAACTTTTTATGTATGAGCCTTGTAAATTCGTAGAGCTCAAAATGCAGCTGTTATTGCCCATAGGCACTTAGGATATGGAAGTGCGATCCATATGTATTTAAGATACTTTAAAAATAAGGGAAGAGAGGGGGAGGCGCGGCTATTTTGGATCTCATAAGTATAAACTTTCGTAAATAATATGGAAAAATCGCCGGTCACCTTGTGAGTGTAACACAAGAGATTCCATAAATGTTCCAGCTTGTTCATTATGGCCCAAAACGCAAAATTCAAAATAATTTTTATAATGTTAAATAGAATAAAGATTTATACTTGATAGCATTACTATGTATTGATTAAAACTACTTTTACGGATTTTATCGCATTTAATTTACTTGATTTTTAAATTCCCGACGTTTCGGGTGATTTCCGGGATCCATTTTCACGGGGGACTGAGGTGACTGATGTCCCGACGTCAGTCTTAACCCGGAGTACCTTCTGCTTTTTAATTATTATTTATGGCCCGATCTACGCAAAATGAACTTAAGTGTCTTGAAATCTTGCAGTGGTATGCTAGGGTTAAGTTTTAATTTTATTAATTACAGGATATCAAGCAGGTGATAGTACCCAGCCTCCATTTCTATTGAAATTAGGATGTTTTTTAATTTCAATAGCCTCACGTCTCATCCTTGGTAGGATTCGATGTTCTTACACGAGGATGAAATCTGATGTAATAGCGGGGTCCGTCTAGGATACGATCACAAACTGCAGATATCCCGGAACGTTGGTGTTTCACGTCAGCTATATGTTATTTTATGCGGATTCTAATAGATCTTTTTGTTTTCCCTATGTATAAGAGACCACATTCACAATCAAACTTGCACACTCCTGTATCTTGTAGTGGGATATGACACTTGACGGATGGTAAGAACTGACTAATCTTCTTCGGCGCCTTGTAGAATGTTCTAATAGAAGCTCGCTACAAAATGTAGCCAATCTTGTCTGTGACACTTCTGATATATGGTAGTATAGCAGGCACATGTTCGACTGTGGCCGGCTTCACTCGGTCTCGGTCACTGTGACTTAGGCACTGGACCCGAAGCTTGTTGTCGTTTAGAACACGGTTGGCGTGTTGAGGCTCGGTGGCCAGGTTGCTGTCACAGATCCCTTGTGCTCTCTGTAACAAAGGTTTGCCCACGGTAGCTAACTGTGAAGGATGATGGTGAGATTCACCGTTAAAATATCGGTTTGTATGGGTCTTTATTTATACACAGTGTGATCCGAAAAGCAGTGTGTATCCGAAATCCTAACAACAACACCATATTGTTAGGATTTTGGATGACTAATACATCTAGGAAGGTTAAGGAATTATTTGCCTCTCCTCTGATGTTCTAGAAATGCAGTTACTTTGTCTGATGGTAAAATTGTGAAAGTATCGTCTACGTACCGCTTTTAGAACCTAGGAGCTACAGGTGCAGTAAGGAGGGCTTTCTCCTCAAAGTCTTCCATGAAGATATCGGCGACAATGGAAAATACAGGTGAGCCCATCGCAACACAATCTACTTGCTTGTGAAACTCTTCCTTCCGCAATAGGTAGCCAGATGTAAGGCAATGTCTGAGTAGTACTGCATATTCTGCTGGCATGAGATTTTTCTCTAGTTTCCTAACTGAGATGCAGTCTTAAACAGGTAGGCATGTAAATAGAGACTGAATATTATAACTGACCATGGTTTCATTTTCAGTAAGACGTAGTTAGACGGAGGTCTTTTATCTCACAAATGACAAAATGGTATGAGTTCTTAGTGTGTGCTATAGTGTGTCCTCTGAGTGGTGATAACATTTTAGCTAAGTGTTGAGCCAATCTATAAGTTGTAGAATCGGTCTGACTCACTATTGGACGTAATGGAGCGTTTGGTTTGTGTATTTTGGTAACCCATAAAACTTCGGTAGTTTGGCACACGCAGGTATTATCTAATTAAGAGGTTAAGTAAGTCAGCTCAAATTCTAATTTCGCCCCCACTTCCCCCGCGCGTCGTATGCTATGTACCGACATGTTTGTAATCACTAATACTGTAAGTAGAAAGGTCGTTAGGCACTTATTTCATTAGGTTTATCATATTTATGCCTGTTTCTTAACGCCAAGCCAGTCGCTTCTTAATTTTATCACGGTTATTTCCCATTTTAATTTTACGTCGTACTGTTGCGTAATGTATATTCTGATCGTAAGCGACACAACTTCTCCCTTCAAAAGCCGGAGCAATACTAACGGAGCGACAGGAACAGGGTTGCCAGATACAATTTTATGGTTTCCCCCAAATTGATTTTTATTTTTCCCCAAAATGATACGTTTGAACCAGAAAACCACCAGTTTTGTTACCAATAGAAAAAATATATAATTAAAACAGACAGCTTTTATTTTATTAGTTAATGAAGGAAGAAAATTTGAATGAAGTACATAGTTATCGATTTTTTTTATTAATCTTCATTAAAAATAGCAAGTACTTGATTAACATTCTCTTCATCTCCCGTTTGATACACATTTTCAGAGTTAAATAAAGTCAACATTGTAGTGCTTGGCTCAAACTTTGTGCACCCGCCGCGGTCTTGTAAGGCACTTCTCACACTCATTATATGGTCTGCGGTTTTCGTGAGCATTCTGTTTCGCAATTTATTTTTGACGATGTTCATCATAGAAAACGCCCGTTCTACAGCAGCATTAGAAAATGGCAAACTTAAAATAGCCGTGGCAAGTTTTGTTAAATTAAAGAAAGCTGCGTCGCCACAAGCATTTTTGTATGACAACACTTCTCCCCAAAACTCGTCAGCTGTTTTGGTTTTTTTCCATTGCTGAAGAGGTAGAATTCTCCACTCTTGCAGCGTCGCATCAACATTTTCCACTCCTCCAAGCACATCCTTGAAACCAACAACTATATCTTCAATATTAGGTCTTACTTGGCTTGTCGCGATTTGGGGCGAGAAAATTGAATTTTTTTCTAATAATTTAATATTGTTTGGTAATCGCATTTGGATTTCTTCACAGAGACGAATAAGACACTGAGTACATCTTTCTTTAATGATGTTTAAATCTTGTATAGGTACATTCGCAGATTCCTCCACAAACAAATATCCCAAGTGAATGCCCCTAGTATTCATAACACAGTCTCTGAAATTGAATGTGGCCAACTCATCTTGTGTAACTCTCTGTAACCGTTCAGGGGGAATCAAAATCGACAAATAATTTAATAGTAATCCAGTCAGTTCTGACAACAATTTCAGAGAATCTACATTGTCTGACTGAAACATTTTGTTCACGTCGGTTATGGCCTTTAACGATTGCTTTAAAAACAATAAATACAGCTTATTTGGCTTTGACGCAAGCATGAGCTGTAATTGGGATGCTGTGTAACACCTCTCTTTCTCTTTTGCTAGCCTGAAGTGAAGTTCTAGCGCATCCCACTGCTCTAGTATTTTTGTGATTGCCTCAATGCGAGATAGCCACCGTGTACCCGACAATTTGTCAATTTTTAGCGGTTTTTTTCCACTCAATATTTCATAGATAAGTCTGTAATCACTTTGTCTTTTTTGTAGAATAAGAAAACCAATTGTGACATTCTTTTACTATAAACTCTAAATGTGTTGGAAGCACTTTGCAAGCATTTTCAGCAGCAAGATGCAACGAGTGTGAGACACATTTAACCACAGCCAAATGCGGTACAATTTCTTTCAGTATTGATGAAAATGAATGATGCTCGCCGACCATCACGTTTGCACCATCTATGCCAATGCCGATTAATTTTTTTATATCTAAGCCATCTTGGAAAAGTTGGTCTTTAAAAGCCTTCACTAGTGTGTCAGCATCGCCGGCTTCAATCTCTAATAACTTGTAAAACACCGTTTTAACTTTGAATGTTGTTTTACTAAAGTAACGTATCATAATACACAGGGTCTTTTTCGTGTCAACACATGTGCTCTCATCTATTATTGCGGAAAAATTGCTGTCGCCAATATCTTTTATTAATTCCTCAAGGATGCATGGTGATATTACATTTTTTATTAGACCAGCACACTTAGTACGATGGAGTTTCAAGTCACTTAGTACAGAAGATGATTTGTCCAAAGCAGAAATAAGCACGCCAAGATGATCTGCTGCTAAAATTGAACAATGTTCTGCAATAAAAGCTGCAATTTTGAGTTCCGATACTTTTCTTTCAAAAGTTATGTTTTTATTAAAAAAAGTGTTGATTTTTTTTGCTACTGTTTCCAAGCTGAGAAAATTTAAAAGCCTCTTGATGTTTTTTGCAGTTAGCGTGATTTGATAAATCTTTTTTTGTGTGCTTGTAATGAACATTTACAAAGCTTACAAAATGCTTTTGATGCTTGTCCCTCCACATTTGTAAGCCAACCTGAAACCAAATTTAGATATTAGAAAAAATATTTTTGATTTAAATATTAGCAGTTAGTTTAGTTAGGTACAGTTACACTAAACCAAACCCACACGCACACGCACCCGTACTCACAATATTACTCTCATTTCCCACCAAAGCTTTTTAAATATAATGGTAACACTAGGACACAATCAAAATACCCGGAGTTTTGGCGGGAACTTGATCGGCGGCGGTATGCTGCTCCTGTATTATAGTTTAAATAATAGTTTGAAGTGGATTTTGATATGTAAAAGTGGTGCGATTTTATGTATTAACTGTCTACGCATGTGAACTATTAGTGGAAACGGTGAAACAAGTGCTCTGATGGTGATGGATTCTCAAGATAAGCTGTTTGTTGCATAGGCGCCTTTAGATACCATCGCCAACTGTCGGCTGCCTGCTGGCTCAAGTTGCCGTCAAAATCTCCCAAGGACTGCACAATGTGACGCATCAACATATTGTGAAGCAGTGAACTATGAAGGTAATTATAAGTAGTGTGAAGTCTCGAATCATGGTCACGAATAAATTAATAAAAAAAATCAAAATACCCATGCCCGCCCATCATTTCCCGTAAAAAGTGTAGTGTAAAGTGTAGGTAGCTGGTAACATTACCGCCGTTTATGAGACACGAATTTCTAGATACCAGGCCATAAACTCCAAAAAAAAAATGAGACACGAATTTACGCGTTGGAAATTCTAAAAACAAAATTAGTTTGAGTATTCGACTGCTCTAACTTCTGATTAATTAGATATTTATATATCTTCTGTCTATTATATGATCGTTACTCATAATAACAACATGTTCATTCATATTTTTTTTTGGTTACATTTACATTTTTAAGTTACAACTATGTACTAGATTTTTTTATAATAAAACTCACCTGCAAACTGAGGTTCCGCTTCCCATACTGGTCTATATCGTCGAGCCGTTTTTCATATCACTTGATTTAATAAGTATATCAAATATCAATCGACACGACAGAACAATACAACATGAACACAAACTATATAGAATAAACAAGAAATATGTATTTAGGTACTCAGAGAAAATCTCGTCAACGCTACAACCAACGACATTCAAAATTCAAACATCAAACACCACACCACAGACACAGACATAGACACAGCGTTTTTTTATATAGCTCTGGAATCTTGCATTTTAGCCATGATATATTAGCTGAACAAAAAGTACGTCCGTTTGCACTTTTTGTCGTTTTAAAAATTCTAGCCACCAAAATTCCCCATTATGTATTTTTCCCCCCCAAAGGTTTCCCCAAAGATTCCATTTCCCCAGTTATTCCCCAAGAGTCAATTTATTCCCCAGAATTGCGAAAAAAAAAACCCCAATCTGGTAACGGTGACGACAGGAATTAAGGACGCGTTTGCAAATCAACCAAAATTAGGGTGTTTTTCGGTAGATTTTGTGACAAAACTAAACCAAATCAAATATAAGTAAAAACTACCATGTATAGATTGGTTCTTCATCTGCTAATGTCTGTAACTCTTTTGTTGAAAATAGTAGTTTTTTATATTGTAAAAACGAACTTTCGTTGCCATTTTCTACAAAATTAACTATTTTTTTTATGGTATGGACTCGTCATAACTAACAAAACGAAGCCCAAATTCGGCACACCTAGTTCTACTCGTTCAGAAATTCCAGCAGTAGTTACTGAATTACACCTTCAGGTCACTCCATCAAGTCCGGTGGTAAGGTCTCATCATAACCAACAAAACGAACCCAAACTCGGCACACCTAGTTCCACTAGTCTAGGAGTTCCTATTGTTGTAATCACCAAATTACACCTTCAGGTCACTCCATCAAGTCCGCAGGTAGGTAAGGTCTTATTATAACTGACAAAACCAGTTCAAAGTCCAGAGCTAACATCTCACTACCAGTAGAGGGCTTCCAGTGCCAAGCAGTCTTTGGAGCAGGTATTCATATTTCGTATCGAAGTATATTTCTGAGGTAGGTATAAGAAATGAAAAACAAATTCAATCTTTCAAATTATCAAAATAATTTCATTTGACTACGATTCCCACAGCCAACCGTGCGTACACTAGTGTGTGTGTGACTTTTGTCAATGTAGTAGTGCGATTCTATACCTATCCATTTTGTAAACGCGTCCTTAAGCTCAAGACGCCGATAGTTTAGGTAATTTCTTTTTACAGTGAAAATAATGGTATTTTAAAAAAAGTAAATAACATAAGCACTGCTTTATAGTTAGTTCAGTTAGTATGCAAAGTTTCATGATCTTATTTAAAGTATTTTATGAATAACAGCGGTTTATTGTTTATTTTGGAGGTAACTTTGGATTTTTTTTCTATCGAGAAAATTTTACGAAATCGTGTTTTCGTCTAATATAATCACTAACATTAATCCTCAACTTTACCATATATTTATTTCAAAATTAATGCTGCAATATTTTCGGCATAACGAAGGATCTTGCTAAGCCATTTGACATTATATTTCCCCTTAACGTCTAGATTCAATTTCTGGTTTAATATGGTGGTTCTTAGATTATTTCCTGTAGTTAATAAAATTAAACCTAAACCCAAATATAACACTGCAAGACTTCAAAACACAGTAAGTTCAATGTCGTAAAAGTAGTTTTAATCAATGTGTAGTTTTCGCGTAAATATAAGAAATCATTAAGCACTACCTACTGTATTATTTTTCATGACATAACCTACCGTTGAACGCAATGTGAGGGCATAAATATATTACATTATAAATGGTTTGCTTATTTATTTGATCAAATTATCAAAAAAGAGTCGCATGCCGTGTATCTCTAAAAATAATATGATACCAAATACCGATACTTAGTACGTACTATCAACATCGCCAAATCTCGAGAATGCGGACCTTGCATCACTTGCTTCGCTATCGTACCAACAAATCAAGAAAGATCTTACTAAATAAATCATAATCTGATAAAAATTTAATAACTTAGAAAAGTTGTAACACAATTAAGTTAAATGAGCATTTTTACTTACTGAGCAGTTCATACCAGTAGGCGACAACGTCTAAGCGATCTAAGGTGCCATGATACGTGGGCTGGTAAATGGACACTGTGCATTTGTTTGTCATATTGGTTCCATTACTGCACATAAAATAAATTGTAATAGCGTTATTTCTTAAATATAAATTCAGTACTGAGTTGACGGTAAAGATGACGTACAGTTAGAAGTGGATTGCGGCATGAGACGCTCTATCGTGAAATATAGGTGTCTAATGTCTAAATATGGGTAAATATAGGCAAAAAGCCACCGAGAGATATCGATATATCGAAGAATAGTAGAATAAAGTATAAAACACATTGATCAGCATCGATTTTTTAACCGATACGGCATTCACATTTTAGCAGACTTTAAAAAGAAGTAGTTTAATACGATATGGTTTGTGATACGATTGCATGTTTTCTTTTTTTGTATATTTACGCGATATATTCGTCCATTGTGATTTTTATAATTCTACCATTGAGCTATTACGTACGTACGTAAGTACATATTACTTCAATGAATTCTACACTCATATTATAAGTATACAACACTACTAATTTAGACAATATTATGCTATTAATATTTGTTGGTGTTTTCTAAGAGTATGTTTTAGACGTGGTACGGCCACGCTACAGCTATATTATGGTTTAAGTACGAATGGGTCAACCTTTGGTTGACCGAGGAAGGACCACGCTCTCACAGAATACCTGCATAAAGTAGCAGCTTAATGCTGCTGCGGCATAAAACTAATTTTACTTTTTTTGGGCACTTTCCAGCGCACATGGTCACAGGGGGTGCTGACTGAGGTGTTTGACGTACCGATGTCATAGTTAACGAAGGCTACCTTCGACTTGTAAATATATTTTTTTAATTTTTGGTCTGACATAATAATTTGGGGGTGGGTTTTTTTTTTCGCATAACCACCATTTTATAAATTAATTGATCCGACCCCAAGGGTTATTCAATTTCATACTGCTGCAAAACTTCAAGACACTGTAAGTTTATTCTGCGTAGAACGAACCAAAAAAAATTCAAAAGTTGAACGTAACCTTCGTCAACTATGACATCAGGATGTCAAACACCTCAGTCCCCCCCCCCCGTGACCATGGGCGCTGGAAAGTGCCCGAAACATCGGGAATCAAAAAAGTTAAAATTAAACGCGATAAAACCCGTAAAATTAGTTTTATTACATGTGTAGTATAAGAAATCATTAATGTTGCTGTGTTTCGTTTGGTGGGTGTCTATAACTGGAGACCCGTTTTACTGGAAACGGGGCATTCCAGCTTAGTCCTTAGGGATGACAACGCATCTGCATTTTGATTCCTAATCAAGGATAAATGTAGGTGTTTATAGACCACAGCATCCACTTGCCATCGGGTTGTCTGAGTACTCGTTTGTCACCCTTATTCTATCGTATTAAGTTAAACGTATTCTATCTTTTTCATAAATAAATTTTCGATTACGATTTATAACGTGATTCAAAAAATAGAAATGTATATTACTAAAGGGGATACATACGTGAAAGCCTTCCGAAACTCTTTACGCCCTTTATCGATTTCTTCTTGCACTATAGGTATTTTGTAAGCTTTAGTGATGTGTTTCGTGAATTCGCAGTCCAGAAAACAGTTAGGACAGTACAACGAATCTTGGAACTCCATGTCTAGTCCGTCTGCATCATCTGCACCCGTTGGATACATAAGAGGTAGTTTTTCTAAAACATGAATATTTATTCAGTTTATAAGGCTGTCTAAGATCTCGACCCGGTACCAGCATCTTGTCCAGTCCTGCCGCCAAACAGAAGTATAACCCCAACTTTTTTGTTCCGAAGGGCAGCCAATGTAATAATTAACTCAGAGGCACTTCATCTTAATTCTCTGGGATGCACTACATGTTTTCATTAAGTTGTAGTTTTTGTGAGCGCAGATGCGATCCTCTCGCGCAGGTTATATACTATACCGTGTATATAAAAATTAAACTCCCTAGGAAGAACAATTGGAGGTTAATACCTATTATATTTAACATAACGTATAACATAAACTGTCACACGTGTCACTCTCACGTCCGTCACTTAACAGAGGTAGCCAGAGATTACGGACTCCCATTTGGCACGATCCTGAGAAACCTCTCTCGCTTCTTGTACATCCATATATTTACATGTACAAGCTCGTTGGTTAAGGTTTTTTTTTTATAGAATAAGGGTAACAAACGAACACATAGTCCACCTGATGGTAAGTGGATGCTGTGGCCCATAGACATCTACATTTATTCTCGATTAAGAATAAAATTCAGATGCGGTGTCACCCCTGAGTACTAAGACGGAACGCCTCGTTTTCAGTAAAAACGGGTTTCTGGACCTCTACACTCACCATACGAAATACAGCAGAATTAGCTGCTACCTTACGCTGGTATTCTGTGAGAGAAGATTTCTTTGCCTATCAAGCCGACCCATTCGTGCTACAACCATAATAAAACTGCAGCGTGGCTATATCACGTGTAAACTTACGTGTATACTTCTTACGAAAGAAAATGTTTGTCACTAGAAAATTTCTTTAAAAGCGTACTGGTGAGGCTTTCACTGTCCGTCTTATTAAAAGTGTAGTTTTATATTTAGTTTCAGGCTTAAACTAGAGTCTGTTACAGTAAAGAAAACCTGCAAAAAAAAGCGAGCTAAAATACAAAGTATTGAATTTGTCAAGACTAGCGTCGCAGCTAAGAGACTTTTTTACTTAGGAGGAATATTATTAAACTACATTTTGAAATACGATGAAGTATGTTTAGAAAAATAACTAGATTAATTTTGAGTATAAATTAACTATTTATTTTATTAAAAACAATTATAGTATCATGGCGATGGAAGAAATACAAAACCATATCTGATACCGTGCTATTAAAAAGGACAGAAGAAACCCATGGTCTTCATCAAATGGCGGTTTAACCATCTCTTATATAAAGTTAAAGTTACAGCCTAAATACGTCTCACTGCTAGGCACGAGCCTCCGTCACGTTCGCTTTTGTGAGAGGGTTTAGGCCAAAGAAATGTCCGCATATCACAATGAGTATTGGCGAACTTCATATGTTTTCTCTTATTTATCATCATATATGTGATGTACCTATATATTTTATTTTGGTTTTCAGGTTTTCTCAGAATGTTTTCTTTCGTCGCCGAGCAGGTGGTAAATCAGCACTTAAAATTGCAATTAATAATTTCTACGTAGACAGGCGACGACGAGTAACGTTAAATTACGATACGTCTGGTACAGCAATTTCCAATCCGCCTGTCAAGAACTGTGATAACGACAAATCGTCCATTAAAATGGAGGAGAATCAAAATCGGTTACGGATTAAGCACATACCTTTATGTTTGTTAAGGCAAGGTATCTCATTCAACGTGCATGTGGGTATATCGGAAGAAGTTGGCATGAAATACGGAGTGCATTTGCATAGTGTCTGGACGGCTTTTATGCGGCAGTTGACGATGCAGGCGCTGTAGGAGTACATGTTGTTGAATTTCTTCTTTCGTTCATCGTGGAAGAGACATTTCCTCTGATGTTGAAAGAAAAGGATAGTTAGTATTTACTAATGTTTTTCCTTATATAATACTAGTTATAATATACCCGCTCGGCTTAACCAGCGTGAGATCTATTAATGTGGCGTTATTATACGTGGTAGAGCCACGCTGCCGATATATTATGGTTGAAGCATGAATAGGTCGGCTCGACCGGGGAAGGACCACGCTCTCATAGAATACCAGGGTAAAATAGCGGCTTAATACTGCTGTGTTTCGTATGGTGAGTATAGAGATCCGGAGACCCTTTTTTACTGGAAACGAGGCATTCCGTCTTAGTCTTCAGGGGTGACAACGCATCTGGGTTGGATTCCTAATCGGGGATAATAAAGATGTCTATGGGGCACTGCATCCACATTCCATCAGGTGGACTGTGTGATCATCACCCTTATTCTATAAATCATATTAAAATCGTTAAATTGCATTTATTTTATCAATGTTTCGATTTCTCAAAAAAAATCTCCATATTTTACACTGCTGGCATTGCTGGCTCTTTAACTGTTCATTCCGAAGATTAAATAAAAAGCAGTTAATTAGATAATACTGACAGATATTTCAATTTAATTTATATGTATATATGTATAGATAAAATAGTATGCAATTCATTTGTCAATTTAACATTTGGTCTTTGTATGTTTGTGGTTTGGGCACCCATGGCCGAAGTGTCTATGAACGGTAGGCATTCCCCTTTAACATAACATCTAGATCAGCGATTTGAAACAAATTCCCTCTGTTTCAAAATTAGGGTCGATAGTTGCCTATAAATAAATTATCTCTGTCTCAAAATATAGGGTACCGTTTTTTCACGATAAGAATAGTCAAAATTATTGTTATCCTGTTCTTTTGTATGTTTGGTGATCGATTGGTGTAGTAAGCCGAAATTTTTCCTTGGACAGAGGATTTTTTCTGAACCGGTGCGGTGGTAAATTAAAAAACATGACTTTGAATAGGTATTATTTACAATCTTTTGAATAAAAAAGTTTCTGTTTCTGTTTCAGCGTGATTAAACTCTGTCCTTTTGGCCTAAAGTGATTTGCCTTGTAGTGATGTATTTCATCACCATATTTCGCCCTTGAGTGATGTAACAGGCGAATTTGGGATATGCCCAAGTTCTCATAGCTTCTGATAGCGGTACAACCACCCCCGTTGGTGAATTGATTATGTCTTAAAGCACCAAAACTCTTACCACTGTAATTAAAGGCTGAAATTTTCCAAACCTGCCCAAGGGATGAATTGAGATATATTTTCTTACGCCTAACCACGGCAGAATCTTGCATATGACATAGGCTTACACTTCGTCCACTTAAAGTCAGCCAGAATATTTCACACACCATACAACAGTGCGATTGTGTAAGTCTGGTAGGAATTGTGTTTACTTCACGTCTGCGTTATGTTATTTTTTATTATAATATTATTTTATAACTAAAATGATATTAATATTAAGTCGGCTCCGTGGCGCAGTGGCTTAGCAATGAGTTACAGTGTTAAGGCCCGCGGGTTCGATCCCGCACGGAACAAGTATTTGTATGGCCTACAAGTAATTGTTTCGGGTCTGGTTTGCTTCGGGTCCTTGTGAAATTTGTGTTTGTATACTGCTCCCATGATATAGGAGAAAATCCTAGTGGAAGTAACGTTTTTTAAAGAAAAATAAATATATAAAAGACATCAGATTATAATCGATACTGAAATATTTGCACACTGACTGTTTCGTTGGTGTAACTGATCGTAAGTATGACTGCTGATCGTGTGGTTCAAATCCCGGGTCATACCAAAATCAGTTACTGGGGTTTTATGTCAAGAAATTCTCAGTAAGTTGGTGTTTCAGTTCTTTGCCCCTAAAAGCACATAAAACCATTGGTCTTGCGCCTGATCTGCCTGCGGCCGTGTAGGATTGCCGTCCAATTGAACTATGAGAATGAGGAAATAGATTATCTATCAACTGCGCATGCGTCCACACTTGTGCCCTTTAATCGTGTCCTGCGCAGTTGACTAGTCTCCATTGTCACTAACCGTTGTGACTGATATTCGGTTAGAAGCACATTATTTATGCAATACAACAAAATCAAACGTCATACGTCTAAACTATATTTACCAAAGTTACAAAATCACACTGCAAGACGTAGGGGTGCAACGCTTCAAATTGGGACAAGTCCCGGTGTAGCAGGACGTTTGGCAGTTCTAAAAGCGACTACGATTAAATGTTCATCCTCTTACCGTTTTGAGGGGGTACTTTCGTACTTCGTTTGTTGCAATCTGCTTGATGGAGTGCAACTCCACGAACAGCGCCATGTTGGGCTCAGCAATGCGCTGCACTACTCGGCCACCATTCGTATCAGCAAAGTGTATCGGATCGAAAATTAGAATCTGTGGACAATTGCTGATAATTGATAACCTAACGACTATATGAATATTTTGTTGGACTCCACACTCAGAGATTAGATGCTATGATTTAAACTTCGAGTCAAAGTAATTTCTAATTGGATTTTGATCTTATTAGGCATTTATTTAAACTACAATAGATACGTTAATAATATGAGGAAGATATGAAGCTTTTACTATTTTTAACCTAAAATGTTCGTTCTCCTCGCTTAGTCACCCAGCATTGGGATTTGGGGGTGTTTTTTTTTGTAGAATAAGGGTGACATACGAGCACAGAATCCACCAGATGGTAATAAGTGAATAATGTGACTCATAGACATTTACATTTATCCTCAAATAACAAGCAAAATTCAGATGCATTGTAAACCCTGAGAGCTAAGATGGAATGCCGCATTTTACAGTAAAAAAAGATCACTGGTTCTCTACACTCACTATACGAAACTCTGCTTTAATCCAATTAAATTTAAATAGTATTCGTGGATATCGTAAGAGGTGAGTATGGGAAATGCCAGATATAACTACATATCTCGATTTAGTTAGTCGTAAAATACCAAGACCGGTGAGACGAGTGCGAGATGGTTATTGATACGGCAGTTGTCATTATGCCTCGCGTTGCTGCCAAGCGTGACGTGTGACTGGTGACTTAATAATAATAATAATAATAACCGTATGGAAGGAGAAGGAGCTCCACGGGAGGTACTACAGGGCTCTTCATGAGCCCTTCGTAGATACAGTCGCCTCCCTCAACGTGGCTACGTTTCGGCGACCTCTTCGGGGAAACCGAGAGTTTTGTCTGTGCATTATAGGATTAGGTTATTAAGACCAACAACTATCGGAGATACATCCTAAAGGATGGCACCGTCGACGTCTGTCGAGCTTGTCCCGTGTTTGATCCCGTTGAGTCGCTTAGGCATGTCATCTCCGGTTGTTCGGCGCTTTCTAACTCTGAGTACTTGCAAAGGCACAACCTAGTAGCCAGAATTCTACACCAGGAGCTCGCTCTGAAATACGGTCTCGTGGACCGGAAATTGCCGTATTACAAGTACTTGCCGGAAGCCGTGCTCGAAAATGACCGCGCCAGGCTCTACTGGGACCGGGCCATCATCAGAGACAGGACTATTCTTGTGAATAAGCCTGATATTGTGCTGATGGATCGAGCACAGTCAAGGATATTTTGGGTCGATATTACCATCCCGTATGACGACAACCTCGTGAAAGCCGAAACAGATAAGCAATCAAAATATCTGGATTTGGCTCACGAGGTGACCGACATGTGGGGTGGTCTGCCGACCGAAATTATTCCTGTAGTCGTCTCTGCGAATGGGCTAATCCCAGTTAGCCTCTCTGGCCATCTGAGGCGACTGGGACTCCGTGACGGACCGCTCCGGGCTCAAATGCAAAAGGCGGTGCTCCTCGATACTGCCTGCATCGTCTGCCGGTTTCTTTCCCCTTCCCCCTAACCCTCGGCCGTTTGGTCTCCCCCCGAGGGCTTCCATCTGGTAGGGCTTTTATTTATTTATGTATTTTTGTATTTATTTTATTTTAATTATATTTATGTATATTTATATTTTAATTTTAATTTATAATTATATATTTATGGAACCCAACCAGATGAGAAAACTATATAGATACCCCCCCCCCCCCCAATAATAATAAAAGTCTTTATTTGTCGTCGTTTACTCAAAAAATTACAAATTCATCAACATAAACAGATCCTATTATGCTAGTTGGAGACAAAATGGTCTATGGCTCAGTGAATGAGTAATATCATTTATATAAAGAAGAAACAATATTGGACCCAACACACTTCCTTGAGGAATGCCGTGTTTGTTATCTTTGTAAGCGGATGAAAAGGATAACATTACATCTCCTACAATAATACTCCCTAGAACGGGGGGAGGGGTATGCCCAGAAATGGACTATATACTAATGGACTATATAAATGTAAATGTATAAATGTTATATTTCCGAATATCAATTATCACATTTTACTTTTAACGATTTAACATTACAACTCGTGTTATGTATAACACGGGTTGTAATGTAAAAATCGATTTTAGGAAAACCAAGACAGATTTTAGCACCTGACAAATGTTATTTTTTATAGAATAGGAGTAACAAACGAGCATACCGGTCACCTGATGGTAAAAGTATGCCGTGGCTCATGAACATCCTACATCTATCCTCGATTAGGAATCTAAATGCATACTCACCCCTAAGTACTAAGATAGAATGCTTACTATCTTTTAAAAGGGGTCTCTGGATTCCTAGTAAGCTGCCATTTTATGATATCTGATATCGACATAAAGCTAAAAAAAAAGAGTTACTGTCCTGACTAGAACTAAGCACGACATAATACAAACCCAATACAATAATGTATGTAAAAGTAGGTCAGTCTGATGAGGAATTGGTAGCATTAAACACAGGCTTACATCTATTCCGTAAACATGGCGTGTTGTGTATGCGTAGTCTTCTATTAGGGGGTCCATTACTACAATTAAACCGTGTAAAGGTCCTGGTTGGGATTGTCTCACCGCACGTTTAATCGTTTGACTGGGTCTGTGGAGTTAAACAGATAAATTATAACTGCTAGGTCAGAAGAATCATTATAATCTTCTCTAGGTATATTTAAAAATCACATGCTGCCTATTCATCTCGCTAAAATTTAAAAACGGCTCGATCGAATTTGATGTAATTTTTTGTGTGTGTTTGAATAGGTCCCCAGATGGTTTAGGACACATTTGAAGGTTACCTTGTTGTCGAGATCCCGTGTGAAGCTGGGGCAGATTGCTAGTTATCTCATATTTATGGCAGATAGTAACTCTCACGATTATATTATCCCAGTTGTGGCTCTGTCGTCGCGCCAGAACAGTATAAAAACGAAATGAAGGCAGAAGTTTCCGGATGATTCTGGTAGAATAAGCTCCGTATAATCACTCGGAACGTAGGTCGCTCCCCAGGCTGAGCGCTTTGACCGGCGGTGGGTCATCTTCTTACTTCCACGGCCAAAACCCAGGCCGAATGGAAGCAGCCTGACAACTATGGTAGAGGCACATGTCCTGCAGTAGACTATATACGCGCTGATTTAAGGTAGCGGAGTTTCACCCAGTTTGACGTAAGTGTGCGCGTGCGCGCGCTTCTGTATGTGTGTGCGTGCGCGCGAGTGCGTTTGTTTGTGTGTGTATGTGTGTGAGAGATTATTTGTAATAAAATGGTATTCACCGTTAGTTGGTGTAACAAATGTGTGTACAAGTTTCGATTGTGAAAATTACACCCACACCCGTTTTTACTGAAACCTTTTAGGGGAATTCATTTGGTGTACGCAAATTTTTATGTGTTCATAAAATTAGTAATTTAAACGATAAATTTATGAATCATCACAATAAAATAATTATTAGGGCCCATCAAAAGTTTATCACTGAATGCCTCCCCTAAGGAACGTCACAAAGCACGATCCGAAGCTACCTGCATCCATCGACCTTCTGGATGTCATAATTAATAATCACCATAAGCAACTATTCTTGTTTATATATAATATATGTAACTAATTGGTTTCTCGGGAATGGCACTTGATTTGGTGAATTTTGTTTGGACCTGTAATAGAGTAGATTATGTGGCCACTTAACTCGTTTTAAATGAAATAACAACCTTCATGATTTCGATGACAGTGAAATTATAATCACTGATAAGTTATTTTCTTCATAAAGTTGGGATAATAGATGGAATAATAACTGAGAAACATATAATTTATGGAAACTTAACAAGGTATTATTAATTACGAACTAAATAATATATTAAGTAGTTATTATTTATGAAATTAAATAAAACTTCATTTGGATAAATTGTATGATTAATTATTCAGTAATTTTTTTAATTGAATATGGGTGACAAACTAACACACAGTCGACCTGACGGCTAAAGGACGCTGTGACCCATAGACATCTACATTTATCAAGAATCAAAATCCAGTTGCGTTGTCACGAATCAAAACGATTAAGATGGAATGCCTGGTTTCCAGTAAATAGAGTCGCAGGTTCTTAACCCTCACCGTACGAAACAGCATGAAGCCGCTATTTCACGCCAGTATTCTGCGCGGCCCTTCTCTTGTCGAGTCGATCTATTCGTGCTGCGTTCAAATATATCTGCAGCATGTGTCTACCACGTAGAACTGTAAGAGTATAGAGGTATCCCAGAGACTTTTTTTAACACCGAGTGAATTTCGGGCGCTTAGCATTAAAAAGTAAATATATTTAATTTAAACTTACATCCCAGCCGCATTGTAATCCAGGATATAGTTAAATGCGCAGCAATGTCCTTTAACAGTTCGACGGACTTTAAAAATACTTTTGCAGTCCATTAGCTTACTTGCCCATAAACATTTAATTAACATTTCCTCGCAGCTAGGCGCTAGCTAAAGACGACAGACTTTATTATAGCACCATTATAATTAGTACGTTAACAAAAAAGCCCATTTTCTGCATAGAATTAAACTCTTAGGGTGTTACCAAACCTATCGATCGATCGTCGATCGATGGTAGAATGGGTTAGTCGAAGTCGATCGAGCTGCTTGATTATTCGAGAACTCGTTTCGCTCCACCGATCGCATTTTAAAAGATATTGATGGTGAGTCCACAGCACATCGATTCATTGTCGATCGATGACTGAACGATGTTTTATCAACCAGTATCCGTCGGTCAGCTAAAGCAACCACACCAATCGATCGACATCGATCGACGTCGATCAATGGCATCGATTGACGATCGATCAATCGGTGTGGTAATACTCTTAAAGGTAAGTAATTAGATAACTTCGCTAGGCATGGCGCTGTGTTGTTGGTGTAAGAGTATTTCATCCCACGGGTGTAGTAACAGGTTGTTAAGAGCGAGGCCAGTAAGTACACAAGTACACAAGTTACTAGTTTTGACCTCATACAATTTCTTTGTGGAACCGTTAAGGGGATATAGTAAGTCTTGCCCTCGCGTCGTATGCTATGTACCGACATGTTTGTAATCACTAATACTGTAAGTAGAAAGGTCGCTAGACACTTATTTCATTATTTATTATTACTTATTTTATCATATTTATGCCTGTTTCTTAACGCCAAGCCAGTCGCTTCTTATTTTTGTTACGGTTATTTCCCATTTTAATTTTATGTAGTCCTGTTGCGTAATGTATATTCTGATCGTAAGCGACACAACCTCCCCGTTCAAAAGCCGAAGCGAAGTGACCGTGCGGCAAGAATCACGCTTCAAAAGGCCGATAGTTTAGGTAATTTATTTTTTACAGTGAAAATAAAGGTATTTAAAAAAAAGTAAATAACATAAGCACTGCTTTATAGTTAGTTCAGTTAGTATGCAAAGTTTCATGATCTTATTTAAAGTATTTTATGAATAACAGCGGTTTATTGTTTATTTTGGAGGTAAATTTGGATTTTTTTTCTATCGCGAAAATTTTACGAAATCGTGTTTTCGTCTAACATAATCCTTAACATTAATCCTCAACTTTACCATATATTTATTTCAAAATTAATTCTGCAATATTTTCGGCATAACGAAGGATCTTGCTAAGTCATTTGAGATTATATTTCCCCTTAACCACCGGTGATTTTACAGAACCGATACGACTTAGGGACCTTGAAGAAACGAGCTTACTCCTTTTTAAAAGGCCGGCAACGTACTTGCGATTCCTCTGGTGTTGCAGTTCTTCATGGGCAGCGCTCGACATTTACCATTACGCGAGCCCTTTGCTCCTTTGCCCTTTTTTTTTTTAAAAAAAGAACATGGCCTCCGATATTGACGAGGCAAAGCTATGCTGCAGCTACCGCACGAACGGTCTCGACCACAAATCCACTGATAGATATAAGCCCGCGCCAAAGAATGCCACAAAGAATCCTGGGTCACCTACATCAAACGACTTTTGCATCTCCTGGCAGGTCGTCATTCCACCTAGTAGGGAACTGCTCTAACCTTCGCTTACCAATACGAGGCTGCCACTCGAGAACCTTTCTTCCCCATCAGTTGTCGTTTCTTCGAGCTATAGGGCGGGCAATGGCAATGGCCATTTCAGCTTATTGATTCGTTGGGCTATGTCAACGAGGAGCGGCGTCACAGATGCGAGTAATTTGGTACAGAAAACCTATTTTTCAAGAGAGGTTCATGTTCCATCACATGTTCAAAAGCTAACTAGGCTGACAGAAGAGTGTAAGCAGAAGTAAATCCACCGTGCTCTTTTCATGATCAGATCAGTTCTTCACCTGCTTTCAAAAGCTTTGTTATTCAATACTCACTCGGTATTTTGGCATTTAAAGGCTTTAGAGAGCTATTCTAATCTTGTTCAGATTGTGTGAAAGACTCAGTCGGATGCGAAATGAAAAGAAAATAGCTTCAAGAAACGTTCGTATTATGCGCTCCTGAAAATCCACAGTTGGACTTGGGCCTTTCCCGTTAGTAAAGAGGATTTGCCTTTATTGTCCCGCTAGACAGGTCGATAGATCATCCCAGTATCTACTAAACCTTTTGCACTGTCGTGTCTCTTTAAGTTAAAGTTACAGCCTGTACGTTCTACTGCTGAACAGGCCTCAACTCATTTCTGAGAGGGCTTTAGGGCAAGGAAATGTCATCGCACTTCCCTAATACATGTTGACGAACTTCATATGTCTTCGAAATATTTTTTCTTATTTCTCAGACATGCAGGTTTCTTCACGATGTTTTTCTTTACCTCCAAGTACGTGGTAAGTCAGGACTTAAAATTGCAAATATTTTTATTATATATATATATATATATATATATATATATATATATATATATATATATATATAGTTTATAATATATTAAAGTTAATTTTATTGGTGCTCGCGGAGATCGAAATCGGTTTTATTTTAAAATAAGGGTGAAAGGTATGATGGTAGTGAAAAAATCAAAATGCAGATGCATTGTTATCCCTGAGGACCAAGATGGAATGCCTCGTTTCCAGTAAAAAAAGGGTCTTCGGATCTTTATCGATATCCATCCATACGAAACACAGCAGTATTAAGCTGCTGCTACGCTTGCATTCTGTGAGAGCGTGGTCCTCCCCCGGTCGAGCGGACCCATTCGTGCTACAAACTTAATGCACCGTGGCTCTACCACGTATAAATAGGTTGGTTAGCTTACAACTGACATCAAAAAATTGGATGTAGCTGCAAGTGTCCAAGCTAGGCTACCAAGCGGATTGTACTTTCCTCTGTCACTATAATTAACTGTATATATAAAAATCAATACCTAGAAGCTTTTTGGCACGATTAGTATTGTTCTGTATACATCATTAAATTGACGATTCATCTTATTAGCTACTAGTTGTTGCCCGCGTACTTCGCCCGCGTATAACTTAGTGTTTTAATTTTTTGCGCGGAACCCTAAATCTTTTTCTAAAATGAAAGTAGTCTAAGTAAATCCTTATAACGTCAACTATTAGAAAGTTAAATTGCCGTTGAAATCGGTCCAGCCATTTCGGAGATTATCCGGAACAAACAGACAGACAATCAGGCAAATATTTTTAACATTGTGTTTTTTTATAAGCACCGTACTTTCATATGCATTTAGTAAAAAGCTGTTATTTTGACATTACAAATAGACACTTCAATTTTATTTATTTGTATGTATGTATAGATAAGTATAAATTACATACTTTTTTCATGGTGTCAATGACTTTTGGTGCATCTCTTAATGTTGTTGCGTACTCCGAGTTTAAGTGGAGATGGCTTCTGAGAGTTTCGTTGTAAGTATAATCTATAAGTCCGCCGAATTGCCACGTCATCATTTCTTTTATATTCCCCTTAACTGTTCTATTAAATCTACAAATCAATAATCATTAAGTATTAAAAATTATGTGTGGTTACGGCTTACGGTAAAATAAGCCTGCTGCCTCACCTATGCACTGAAAAAGCCATTTTACAAACATTGTCAACTTGTTAGGCCAGTTTGTGCAAGTGCAGGTTAGGCATTGAAAAAATGTCGGATATTCTAAACATAAAGTCTAAATTAATAAATTATTTATTAAACACTAGCGATCCGCCACGACTTCGCACGGGTAATATTTGGATCTCGAAAATGTATGTGACCTTCCTCTTGAATTATTATTCTGTCTATCGATGAACACCGCATCAAAATCGGTTGCGTAGTTTAAAAGATCTAAGCGTACATACGGGGGGAAGCGACTTTGTTTTATACTATGTAGAGATACGTAAAATTATACACATATGATGGTTTTATTAAAGACACAAAAAATCTACGGCTTTTTTCGTATAGTATGACTGTAGCCATAAAACGTTGATATTTTGGTCTCATATGTCGGCAACTTGTTTGTATTTGACAGTCCTTGCACTGGACTAGAGACATTGCACTCTTGTTTTTGACTTGTTTGTGTGTATGTTGGTCGCTTGCCGAAGCTCTGCAAGAGTCTGAAGCAAGCTTCAGATAATTTATTCCCCTTCTTCCTGTGCGTGTCAGAGAAATTGACAGAACTAAAGTGTTTAGACTGGTATCGGAAAGGAGCAATAAGGTGCGATATGTTTAATTAGAGGATAGCGATTATACAATACAATATCTTTATTTCAGGTATCAAGGGCTTAAAAATTAATGACATTGGCCCATAGCTATATATTACTTGAACCTAAAAGTATATAAAAACATAAACATAACACTATTTAGGGGACTTTCTTCTTTAGCGCGTCACTGTATCGGCACTACCCCAGAGTCAGAAATCTGGAGCGAGTAATTTCCCTTTTTATTTTGCAGGAACCTGGAGTACGTAGTATTTGAAGTTTGTTGACCTATTAGATTCCAGACGCTACAAATGTACAGGGATCGGATGCACTATGCGTCGGATGTTTTCTCCGGACGTACTTTTGTCCAAACGGGAGATGTAGAGCTGTGTAGTGGGTTTCACAACACGCAAAGCGGTACATGCGGTTATTTCGGTGTTCCCACGCTGGTTACAGACTCTATCGACGTCTCCACTTAACAATATGAGAGACGTCGGTCTTATAACAATGAAAAGAGTATAAAATAAAACGTTGAAAAAAATTTGTAACATAGGTAATATTGTTAAGTCATGTAAGAAGCTAAATTTGATGAGATGGGCTAATGCATCGTCTTGATAACATCTGAATAAAAAACTGCGTTTGCAAACCCGCTCGCCAAACGTGACAAGTATGGCAAATTCATACAACTAAGGTCTAATACTTACGTCTTCGTCTCAAATTCAAACATAGCTTTCTTGCTTATTCTGTTTACATTACAGATAGCTATAGCTGGGAAGTCTATTTCCGATATAGGATACCTTGACGACTCCATTGACACAATTAGTGGTGTGGACAGGTTCTCGAAACACATGTACCAGAAAAAGTAAAACATCGTTCCGCACATGCTAGCAAAAACTAACATCCAGATAATTCTGAAATATATTTTTATTCCTTAGTCTCTGAGATTTTGCATGTTTTTGATTTTTATTATTATTTCATTATTTATGCAAGTGAATATAAAAAAATGTTAATAAATAAATAAAGGCGATATTAGTTAGGATTTAATATCACATCCTGAGATATGTTTTCTGACTAATGATTTCTTATATTTAGGCAAACATAGAATGAAACTTTATATATATATATATATATATATATATATATATATATATATTTTATATATATATATATATATATATATATATATCGCGTATATTAACTTATTTTATATTCCCGACGTTTCGAGAACTTTACAGCACCCGTGGTCACGGGGGATGGGACTGAGGTGTTCGATGTCCCGATGTCATAGTCAACCACGGTTACCCGATCTACACAAGAGAGAATATAGCTGGGTGCTACCATATGCTTGGGATCCTATAGTTAACAAATTTAAATCCCAACCCAAGCACATAACCGCAAGACTTCGAGATACTCTAAGTTCGTACTGTGTAGATCGGAGTAAAAATTAATAATTTTAATCTGCAACTGCGGGAACTATGACATCGAGACATCGAACACTTCAGTCCACCACGTGACCATGGGTGCTGTAAAGGGCTCGGGAATATAAAAAAGTTAATATAAGCGATAAAATCCGTAAAAACTAGTTTTATTTAAATGTTTTCTGAATCTTCTACCATACCTCAAAAATGGAAGAATCATTAAGTCATCCTTTTTTTATAAAATTAACCTGTTGGTACGTGATCATTGCAGCCCATGGAGAGCAACCCACTTCAAATGAAGAAGGCTACTAGTTCGTTGTCACCTTTGAGGAGTAAGATGGAATGCCTCAAAGCCAGTAATTTCACTGACTCTCTATATCCTTCAGACCGGAACAAACCGTGCATGCATTGCTGCTTTTTTTATAGAAGAGGGGGCAAACGAGCATGCGCCTCACCTGATGTTAAGTGATTACCGCCGCCCATGATCAACCGCAACACCAGGGGAATTGCAGGTGCGTTGCCGGCCTTTAGAAAGGAGTACGCTCTTTTCTTGAAGGTCCCCAGGTCGTATCGATCCGGAAAAATCGCTGGTGGTAAACTATTCCACAGAGAGGTTGTACGCGGAAGAAAACTCCTCTTGAAACGTACAGTGGTGGACCGCCAAGCATCCAGATGATGTGGATGGTATCGCGACGTTTGCCGCGTAGTGCGTTCACGAAATTTGGCGGCTGGGATTAATCCGAACAATTCCTCAGAGCACTCTCCATGGTATATGCGAAAGAAAATGCAAAGAGATGCAACATCTCTTCGCAGTGCCAGTGAATCGAGCCGATCGGAAAACACTCGGTCGTCGACGATTCGAGCCGCTCTGCGCTGGATGCGGTCAAGTGGAAGGTAGCTGGTACTGGGGAGCCCCAGCCCAGAGATGGGAACAGTATTCCATGTGCTGCCGAACCTGCGCCTTGTAAAGTTGCAGGCGGTGTGCCGGCATGAAATACTGTCCCGCTCTGCTGAGCACGCCAAGCTTTTTAGAGGCCAATTTGGCCTTCTCTTCCAAGTGACCACGAAACTGCACGTCACTCGATATGTCGACGCCGAGGATTCCGATACTGGCTGAGGCAACAAGGGGAGTGCCTTAAAACTGAGGAGATACGACAAAGGGGTTCTTTTTAGCGGTTAACGCGCAAACTTGTGTCTTCTGGGGGTTAAACTGGACTAGATTTAGTCGCGCCCAATCCGAGACTCTGTTCAGCAAAGACTCGACTTCAGACACAAGTTTGTCCCGGCACTCGGAGACGTTTTCCCGAGAAATATTGGCTCGGCCGGTGTAAAGAGCATCACCAGTGCTGTCATCTGCATAGCAATGAATGTTACGGGTTTGCAACATATCATTGATATGCAGAAGAAACAGCGTTGGCGATAGCACGCAGCCTTGTGGAACACCAGCATTAATAGGCTTGCAATCGGAGCTTGCACCGTCTACAACGACCTTGATGCCCCGATCTGCAAGAAAGCTGGTGATCCAATCGCACAATTTCTCGGGAAGCCCATAGGAAGGGAGCTTCGAAAGAAGCGCTTTGTGCAAAACCCGATCGAAGGCCTTCGCAATGTCCAAACTAATGGCCTCCCCCTTGGACTCTACTGCCTCCGCCCATCTGTGAGTTAGGTAGACCAGAAGATCACCAGCTGACCGACCACGGCGAAAACCGTATTGGCGGTCACTAATCAGCTGGTGATCCTCAAGGTACCTCATGAGCTGGCAGTTTACAATGGACTCCATTGTTTTGGAGAACAAGGAGGTGATGGCGATAGGCCGGTAGTTGGACGGGTCTGAGCGGTCGCCTTTTTTAGGGATCGGGTGGACGAAAGCCGTCTTCCATGATTTTGGGACTACGCCTAGGGAGTAGGAGTACCGGAAAAGACGCGTTAAAACCGGTGCCAACTCTGGAGCACACGTCCTCAGCACAATTGGGGGGATTCCGTCAGGCCCACTCGACTTGTGAATGTCCAGGGAGAGGAGTGCTTTGCGAACCGAGCGCTGTGTGAACTGCACTTCCGGCATGGAGCACTCACACCGCGGGATGGTCGGCGACGTACTCCCCCCGTCATCGAGGGTCGAGTTGGACGCAAAGAAAGAGCCTAGAAGATCGGCTTTCTCCTTTGCGGTATGGGCCAGTGAGTTGTCCTCCCTGTGCAGAGATGGAAAAGATGGCTGACAGAAATTCCCCTGGACAGCCTTGGCGAGAGACCAGAATGCACGGGTTCCAGAAGGAAGGCGGACTAGTTTCTCGCCAATTCTGCCTATGTGCTCTGACTTTGCCTTGGCAACGACTCTTTTAAAGGACCTAGAGGCGGAATTATACTTCTTTTTTAGAGCGCTGGTGTTTACATCCCGGGACGCTGATGCGTCAACCCAGGCTCGGTAGCACTCCTGCTTATAGCATGATGCTATTTTACAGAAGCGACCAAACCATGGCTGAGATTTGCCTCCAATGGGCACCACAGAGGAAGGAATAAAAAGTTCCATACCCTGAAGTACCACATCAGTGACAGAATCCGCAACAAAGTTTGGATCGTCCGACGAGAAGCAAACCCGCCCCCAAGGGTAGGATGCAAAGAAAGACCGCATCCCATCCCAATCGGCTGACCTATAGTGCCAAACACGGCGGCAGCCTGCAGATTGCAACTGCAATTTCAGCGTGAGTGGCACCACACTCCGAACAAGACAATGGTCCGAGGAGCCTAAAGGGGCGTCAACGGAAATCTGATATCCGTCCGGGTGAGAGGTCAGCAGAAGGTCCAACAGGGAAGGTGCATGATCCTCCACATCTGGAATCCGCGTAGGCGAAGTAACCAGTTGTGTCAGACCATATGCCAAGGCAAAATCGTTCATGAACAGATCTCTCCCCGCATGATCGGTTAAACGTGAACTAAGCCATTCGGCGTGATGGGCGTTAAAGTCGCCGAGGATCACGATCTCTGCGGAGGGGATCTGCTGTAGCAACGAATCTGTAGCCATTTGGACGTGGTCGAAGAGTCGGTCTATTTCGGCATTACCGCTATGGGACCTATAGAGGCACCCGTAGACGCGCGGATGGTCGTCGCTGTCTACGCGTAGCCAAAGTATGGACAGGTCCGAACCTTCAAGTCTGCCGAAGCGTCGAGAACAGATGTCTCCCTCTCTGACGTAAACGCAAACTCCAGCCCGAGGCACAAAGGAGTGTTCCAGTTTGTACCCCGGGTAGGAGAGATACGAGACATCAGCCGGAGAGGACACCTGCGTCTCGGTCAGAAAGAGCGGAGCCGCCCTCGTCGTCTCGAGATAGTAGTGGACGGCGTTTAGGTTAGAGTGAAGTCCCCTGATATTGCAGAAATTCACGGACAGCGTGGCAGGGGTCGCCTTGGTTTTGTTGCTCCGTTTGCCCCGAGCAGTTGTAGTCTTGAGCGGAATTTTGCCCCCCCCCCCTCCAGAATACGCGGGGCAGCCTGAGCACCCACGCTCAGAAGTGGAGAAACATGATCGTGGATGCTCAGCGAGGGATTCTCCTGCGGTGCTGGTACCCTCCTGGGGTAGTCTATTATCATTTAATTCCGCTACCATGATGATGGGGGGGGTGGCTTTTTTAGGTGGCATCTTGCACCAAGTAAAACAAGACAACGTAACAGGCGATAATAAAATAGTGATGATTATGGAGTTGGATGTCTTAATACCTTTCTTTGAGAGCAATGGTAGGGTCTATCATCTGTTTCACACCGGCAATGGAGCAGTTATTTACGAATTCTGTAAAACATTTCTTGATACCATCTAGAAAAACCATTTTCACACTAACTTTTCTACGTGGACGAAATCGTCTTCGTCTGTATTCGTGCCACCATAAGTCTTCGCGTTCCGCCATATCTACACAATAACAATAATTTTTATTGAATTATTACAAAAAGAAGCGTGTACGTGATTCTAATACTGATTGTTTATTGTCAGTGAAAGGTCAGTGAGGAATAGAGATTTTAGATAGTATAAAACAAGAGTTATATACAGAATGGAATAACCGTAGAGCTCCGTAGGATCGTATAATTTACACCGTTTTTAATTATAAGCTTTTTTATAGGGTAACGAACAAGCATACAGTCCACCTGACGATAAGTAGATGCTGTGACCCAGAGAAATCAACATTTATCCTCCGTTAAGAATCAAAATGCAGATGCGCTATCACCCCAAAAGACGAAGATGGAATGCCTCATTTCCAGTGAAAGGGGTCTCCGTTTCTCTACATTCACCTTTACGTGGTAAAGCCATGCTGCAGCTATATTGTGGTTGCAGCACGAATGGGTCGGCTCGACCGGAGTAGAACAACGCCCTCACAGAATACCAGTTTAAAAGAGCAGCTTAATGCTGCTGTGTTTCGTATGATGAGTGTAGAGAACACGAGACCCTTTTTACTGGAATGGAAACGAGGCATTCCATCTCAGTCCTCAGTCCTCAGGC